CTTTAGGTTTATTATCTTTACTAATAGTATTTACTTTAACCTTAAGAAGATTACTATAATTAAGGATTAGTAAGCCTTAATAACTATTAAAGGGGTCTAATTCTTCTTAAAGGTTTATACTTTTTACTACTAGTTTATTACTAAGTATAGATATATAGCCTACCTCTTAACCTAACTTACTACTAAGGACTACTAATTTCTATAAACTAATAACTATAAAGAGGCTTTTACCTCTTTAAAATAGTCTTTTACTACTACTTTAGTACTTTATTATTTTAAGCCTAAACTTCTAACTTATATTAAGACTAACGCTTTAGACTTTATATATACTAATATAATACTTTAATAGTAAGAAAATAGTATTTAGTACTTAGTTACTTTTTACTTTAAGGCTATAAGTAGTATAAAAATAAACTATACTATTTATAACAAAGAACTTTTTATTATTATTTTTATATTATAAAAATAGTAAGCTAAGCTTAATAACTACTAATACTATTTTAAAGTTATTACTAATTATTAACTACTACTATACTTTATAATAAAATACTTATTAAATAGCTATTAGGCTAATTAGTTAAGACTAATAGTAGACTTTAATTTTTAAATTAGCTATTAACTTAAAATAAAACGTCTTAGTAAATAACTTATCTAAAAAAAGAAATCTTACTATATAAAAGGCCTTAAAAGAGGCTAGCTATATATAAGTCTTTTTACTACTTTTACTACTTATACTAAGAATTACTATTTAGTTATAGTAGCTACTAAAGACTACTACTATAACTAAAAGAACTACCTCTAAAGTAATTATAGTAAGTGCCTTAATACCTAAGGATAACCTATAAAGGTACCTACTAGTAAAATAAATCTTAAAACTAAATTAAAAGACTACTATACCCTCTTTATTAGCTTTTTAAGATCTAGCTTAATAAAAGTAAAAGTATTAAAAACTAACTAATAATAGCCTATTAACTATAGATAAGCACTTAGTAGTGCCCTCTAAAATAACTTATATACTTATATAATTTAAAAAGCCTATAACTAGAAGTTACTTATATACCTTATGAAAAGGGTGGTGACCCTAAGGCCACTATATCAACCGATCGCATTACTAGCTAGAGATAACTATAAATATTAAGTAATATATATATAACTACTATATATATTACTATATATATAATTTATATAATAAGCCTCTAAAAGAACTAAAGCTATTACTTATTTTATACTACTTATAGTAATATGTTACTATAAATTTTATAGCTTACTTAAAAAAGAAAAAGAAATATAATAATATATAAGTTATAATATCCTACTTAAGAAAGTAAGTAGTATTAACACCTTATTATAAGACTACTATAGTAAAAAATATATTATACTTTTTTTATAAACGCCTACTACTTTTCTTTAGTTTTCTAAAAGTAATTACCTCTAACTATAGCCTTTAATTTATTTCTAAATTTTAAGATAAGCTAATAAAAATTTATAGTATTAAGATTTAGCCTTTTATTACTAACTACTTATAAGTAAATAGTTAAATAAAAGTCTTTAACTAGTATATTATTTAGTAATTACGCTTATTAGTAAATTACTACTAAGATAACTAAAGTAAAATACTTCTTATAGTAGATTTTACTTATACTATACTTCTTAGTAAAAGCATTAAACTATTACTATTTAAAGTTAAATTTAGCTATATACTATAACTTAGTTTTAACTAAAACTATAAGATATTAAAGTTTAATAGCACTTAAGAAAAAATTAACTAAACTAAAGCCTAAAAAATAACTAACTATATTTATAAGTACTAAAAGATTACTTAAGGGAATATAAAAGTTACTTAAAAACGCTAATAATATTATATAAAAAATATTAAAAGCTAAATAATATCTAAGTAAGAGATAACGTCTTTATTAATACTTCTTACTAAAAAAGAAATAACCTTAATAAGCTCTAGAACCTTTAGTTAGGTCCTTAGCCTATAATTTATATAGGCTTAAGTAGTACCTAGTAGGTTTAGCTTCTTAAAGGTATTAGTACCTACTTAGTATTTTATCTTAGTAAGCTTTAGAAAGCCTTAGTAGACCTACTTTTAAGCTAGTACTAAGACTTCTTACTACTAACTACTACTAGAAATAAAGAACTAAAATATAAAGTAGTATACTTATTATAGTCTAAGATTAACTATAAAAGACTATAATACTATATAAATTAAGTTAGTTATAATAAAAACCTTACTTAGTATAATACTAAAAGCTTTTACTATTTACTAATAGTACTAAAGAAGTTTTATAAAAAACACCTTAATACTAATAGCTTACTTTAAAATTTATACTTATAGCTTAAAGATATAGCTATAAATACTAATTTATTAGTATAGCCTTATAATAATACCTTAAAAGACTTAAATAAATATTAATTAAAAAGTCTATTAAAGCCTAAGTAGTATTTAAGTAACTATATATATTTACTATAAGTATAGTGCTAGTATATTATACTAATTAGCCTTACTTTTTTATAGACTTACTAATACTTTCTAGGCCTTTACTTTACTTTACTAGGTTTTAGTCTAAAAGAGTATTTCTTAATAAAAAGATTTATATAAAAGAATAAAAAAATTAACTTATAGCTACTAAAACCTTATTTAATTTTATACGCTTAAGAACTTAAGTCTAAATATATATTATAAATAATATAGCTCCTAAAAAAAAGTAATATTATAGCTAAAGAGGTTATATAAAGGATATATAAATAGGAATATAGTTATAATATAGTTTAATAGCTAGTATACCTTATACCTTAGTAGTAAGTACGCTATAGCTATAGTAATCTATACCTTACGCCTTAGTAGCTAAGGCCTTAAGCCTTAGTAGTTAGTACACTTATACCTTAGTAGCTAGTAAGCCTTATAGTACTAAAGTATTTACTAAAAGGTAGAGGAACTAAAACCTTTAGTTATACAAACTATTAGGTAATTTATAAATAGAATAAATAGCTATATAATAGCTAGTAAGACTACTAGCCCCTTAGTATAGATTTCTTTCTTTTTTATTTTTAAATTCTTATAATAAGAAATATAGTTATATACTAAACTAATATAGTATTACTACTATAATAGTAGTTATAGTAAGCTAATTACTTTACTTATTTAATTAACTTACTTATTATATATATTATAGCTAGTATATAGTAAGTATATATATAGTATATATAGAATATATACTTAAGTCTAACTTATTTTAAATAGTAAGTTTAAGGTATTAGCTATTTCTTAACCTTAGTTATACTTATTAAGCTAGTAGTTCTTTTATTAAACTTAGTAAGTAATACTAATAAGATTAAGAATAACTTATATTATTTATTTATTTACTTAGTATATACTAAGCACTAGCTAGCCTTTTTTTACTCCCCTTAGTATTATCTTTAGTAATACTATAATATCTTATATTATCTATTTAGTCCTTATTATTAGATAAAGAAGAGAACTATTTAGGTAGTAAATAAGTAGAGATACTAAAGAAGTTACTACTAGTATTATTAAATATAATATTTATTAATTAAGCTAGAATAAGACTAAGTATATACTTACTATATAGTCTACTAAGGCTAAGTATATACTAGGTTTATTTTTACTTTTATATTTACTTTTTACTTCTTTTTTTTTATTAAAATACTTAATATATAAGCTATTTTTTAGTATCTTTAACTATCTTCTTAACTACCTCCTTACTACTACCTTAACTACCTCTAGTCTTATATCTTTAGTATATATACCTTATATATACTAAGTATATATTTAATTAATATCTTATATATAACTTATATATACTAAAAAATAACTTATACCTTACTAGCTAGCTAATACCCCCCCTTTAACTTAAGCCCTTTATAAAGGCACTATACTATATAAAGTTATATAATAATTAGTATATATATAACCTTTACACCCCCCCTAAAGTTTACTCTATAGGTGTATAGTTTAGGGGAGGTATTTAAAGTTTAGGGGGGGGATTAAAAGTCCTAAGCAGGCTTATTTAGGCTTAGCTTAAAGTATAAGGAGTATAAGAATTAGGTATAGTGCTAGTATATACTTAGTATATCTTAAAGAATATAGTACCTACCCTCTATAACTATAAAAGGCTTAATAACCTTAGTACTTCTTAAGTCCCTTATAGTTATAAAGGGTAAGTACTATATTATTTATAATATACTAAGTATATACTAAGCTTATACCTTAAAATTTAGTACTTACCTTTTATAACTATAGAGGACTTAGTAACCTTAGTACTTCTTAAGCCCTCTATAGTTATATAAGGTAGGTACTATATTTCTTAGGATATACTAAGTATATACTAGGACTAATTTAGTTACCTTTTTTTTATCTATATAGTGCTGAGGGCTTTACTCCCCCCCCTGAACTTAGAATACCCCCCCCTAAGCTGGATCCCCTAAAGGTTGATTATATCTGGCCTTGGACCCGGCCGATACGGCTGGCCTTGCCTAGCAAACCCCGCTCGAGTGGGGGGACTTCCCGCAGTGAACTCCTTCGCCGGCTGGACTGTATTAGAGCTGAGAGAGTAAGCGGTCTCGTTTGGCGAGAACCCACCTCAAATGCAACCAGCAACCCAGCACAGCCTTCATTGCAGCTTCTGCGCAGATGCCTGGACGGAAAGACAGGGTCAGGAGAGGATTCGGACAATGAAACCCCGCAATTGACTTGGTCTCATTGGATACACCACGCGAGTGGCGGGAGACCTCGACACACTAGTCAGTCGGCGATGAGACCTCCCGAATGACTTAAATGCACCGAATCAGCCTTGTACACAATGCCCCTGATCGTTTCGCTCGGGCACGGACGATTATCGAAATGAGCTTTTGGTATCATGAACAATCGGACAGCGAAGAGATACGCTTGCGACCGGTGCCGGGAACAGAAGCTCAAATGTGCCCGAAGCCAGCCGGACAGTGCAACCTGTGAGCGCTGTCTCCGTCTGGGCGCCATGTGTGTCACGAGCATCGGCCGGCCACTTGGGCGGCCTCCAATACACGCGAATCACCGAGGCCAGGTCAATGACGCTCAGTCTCTGTATGGTGCTCGGAAAAGTCGCGTCTCGACGCATCGTGGCTTGCGTGTCACGATGGAAACAGATCCTTCACCGACGACACAGAGCCAACGAACGGTTCCAGGCCCTTCCCGGTATTTTCCTAACAACAGGGTATCGGGACATGCAAATACCACCTCAGCCATGTGGTTGGATGCGTCAAACTCCCCAACTGCGTTGTCTGCGTCCGAAGACCCCACCATCCCCCCACCAAGAGCACATTCACACGTCTTCTCCGAGTTAAGCGTCCCCGATTTCGACTTCGGAGATCTGGACGACATGGCAGAATACCTGAACAGGGATCTTCACGAGTCGACGGGCGACGTAGACGATAGGGTCTCTGGTCGGAGCGGGATCGCCACGCCCAGTACATCAAGCGCCGGCGACACGGGCGTTTACGTCGTGGGCCTCCTCGGCAGCATTTCTCATCAACTGGCGGAGCTTAAAGACCAATCCTGGGAATCGTGGAATCCGCATCTGACGAGAAATGACTTTCATGACAGCAAAGATCTGGATTCGACAGGGGGCCGAGATCTCAGCATTTGGAATCGTGTTTTGAACGTAACCATGCGATTTGCAACCGTTTTGCAGACGGTGCCTTCGGCCCCGCCACCAGCGCTCTCGTTGAACTTGATGCTTCTGTCAACGTACGTTCAGCTTGGGGAGCTTTTCGAGATCGTCTTCACTCGCATGAGCAACTGTTTACGCGAAGGGTCTGGACCTGGCGCATCGGCTGCGGCTACCGCTCAGTTTTTGACGCAGCCAACAAGCATCCAGCTCATGATGATGACCCAGGTTTTCGAGTACCAAATGCACACTGTGGAGAGATTGATGGGTCTCCCTACAGAATACCGAATTTGGGATCACCGAGATGGCGCCATTGATGCGGAGGTTGGCATTCTTAGCCAGAAGAGCACGTCCGAAATCGTTTGGGCAGTAATGGGACAGACGCGAGAAACATTTCAGACTATCAGACAAACAATTAATCGTATCAAAGGCTCTACTATATAGATCCTACGGTCGATTGCTTCGGATAAAACGGTGACAAATGCCCTTCACATATGGGGGCGTGGTAGTTTGTGGCATCATTCAACCACTAATGAAACTTATGTAGAATGAGCACTAGACATAGCTCTCACGATCTATATACAACAATTCTTTCTGTAGTTTGGCAACATGAAAGTTATATCTGATGCGGTGATTTCAGTTTCCATATTGATTTCTTTACTCTAACATGAAATCATCGTTTCTGTTTTTGGTCCTTCTTCTGCGAAGCAACTCATTTGCCCTGTAATGAGGCAAACACGCAATGCTGCCCCTGAAAAGCACAACGATGCAAGTTTTATGAAGATCATCATCGACGAGTGATGAGTAGCTGAATTGGCTATTTGTTTCTGATCCTTCTATCGTTACATGTCACAATCTCCGGCGAAGTAAATGCTCGGCTGGCTGTCCTCACAACCTCGTACACAGCGTGATGTGGTTCAATTTCTGATTGAGTAAAACTAGATCAAGTACTCACTATTGAAATCGTGATAACAATTGCTGAAGGCCAGACGAGGTTATCGATTACACCGTTTTCTCAAAAGGCGTGAGGCGAACATGCACCTTTGGCTTCTGCCACACAATGTACAGCCGCAGATCTCTATCCCAGTCCATCTCATTCTTGTTCACCAATTCCCATTGGAACCGCCAGCAAAGCTTCGCGAAGATGATCCGAAGCACCAAGTAGGCCATTGCTTGACCGAGGCAGTTTCGAGATCCGGCACTAAAAGGTCTGAAAGCGCTTCGATCATCCTCATCAAAGACATGGTCGTACTCTGAATGGTCTTTGGGAAGCCATCGCTGAGGTTTGAACTCGTACGGCTTGCCAAAGTACTTCTCTGAATGCGTGGTGGCGTAGGCGCAGGATGATACGACGACCTGACGAGATGATTAGCTCCGGAATCTGCGCGGAAGAAACGCAGCCTCATATTGGCAGATAATAGAAGCAAAGATGGAAAACGTACACCTTTAGCCACAAAATTTCCATCCACAGTATGCCCGGGACTGATTCGTGGGAGTCCGTAAGGAACATTTGTGTGTAGTCGAATGACTTCTTCAATGGTTGCATTCAGCCACGGCAGGTCCTGAAGTTTATCCTCTGAGATGTCTTCATAAGACTTGAAAGTCGTCCTCAATTCCGTCTGTAGCTTGTTCATGATCTCGGGATTCGTCGTAAGGAAACATATACCGGCTGTTAAGACACTCGATGATTCATAGTGGTCAAGGATCAGATGGCCGGCTTGGGACACGAGAAAACCGTCTGGCGGAATCGCCGTTTCGTTCTTCAAAAACTGTGCCATGTAGTCCAGTTCTTTCCGGTCGTGGCGTTCTTGGACACGGGTTCGAATAAGCTTTTTGCTCGTTGAATGAGCTCTGAAGTAGCTCAACGCGACCTTTGGGGGAAGAAAGACATATGACAGTGGGTAAAGCAGGGGAAAGCGGCGCATGACATTTCGGAATGTGGCCCAATGACCGATGCGCAACAGGGATTCCAAAATAGGGTGGTTTTGGCCTTTCCCAAATCCAAGTCAGTCGCATAACCAGAGGAAAAGATGTGCAAGAGTTCACGGATACCACGAGCAGGGTTGACCATACCGGATTGGATGTTTTTGAAGTTGTGGCCAAGTGTGATCGAACCACCCAGGTCACAAGTCGCTCTTTCGAACCACGGAGCAATATCGACGCCTTCATCAACAGCAGGTGAGTTCTGGAGCTCAGCAACGAACTCATCCACATGGGCATGAATGGTCGGCTCATACTGCTTCAAAGACCGGGGACTGAATGCAGGAGCCAGCTGTTTGCGAGCAGCGCGGTGCTTGTCGATATCTCGTTCCGAAGCTAGCCCTTCGTACTTGTCTCCCGTGTCGAGCATATCCGATTTGACGAAGGCAGGCCGTCCATTGATGCTACTGGTGTAAATATCTTGCGAACGCTTTATCAGAACATTTCGTCTATCTCACTGCCAACATGCTACTTATCGCAAACATACCTGTGTAAGCCTTGGGAGTGATGAAAACCAGCTCGTTGGGTGCGATTCGAACTACATCTCCTGATCACAATTAGCCGGCCAATTAGTTCAATGAAATAAAAACTTGCTCACCGTATTCTTCGAAGGCTCGTTGCATAGCCCAAGGGTAACGACCAGACAGCCTGGGAGTGGTCACGTCAGTATCTCCTGCTAGAACGCATGTACGGTGTTGGGTCAAATCAACCTACCATTGGTATCCATACCAAACATTGGAGACTGCGGCAAACTTGGGCCCTGGGAATCTTGCTAGAGGGTGAAACCAAAGCAGGTAGATTGTTCGAACCAGGCTGTATGCGATAATCTGAGGCCATTGTTAGGCATTCACTGTTGTGCACGAGGCCCGAGGAAATGAGAGGGGTTCACTGACACCAACAGTTGCAAGGGCTGCATAGTCACGAAGTGACAGGCTCGTGCTGAGAAGCTCGAGACTCAACATCGTGCTGGCGTTACGAGGAGTGCACCGATCTGTGCTTTCTGTCCAGCCCAAGTCGCAATTTTGACTGAAGGAGGAGGGTGACTACATCTACGACGTCGTCCTTTGATCATTGGTCAGAAAAGGAGAAAGATGAGATGCCCCAAGTTAATCAATCGAGCAATTGTCAGATCTGCTGGACTACCTAGATGGCAATATTTCGGCATCCATCATCATCCCTGCGGAGAAAGTCACCGACTCGGTATTCGGCACCTGTCTCCCAGATCCAGTCACGGAACTGTCGACAAAGTGCAAAAAGCACTTGCCCCTGTCTGAAGGATCGCTACTGAAGAACACCTTTAGCCAGTCGGCTTGCCATCTGCAAGGCAGGATCCCGATCAGGCAATTCGGAGGTCTTTCTCACACCTTCGGAGGCATAATTAGTGATCCTGCCGAGTCCACTTGGAGCTGACGTGGGGGCGTCAGCCGGAATCGGGGTCCACCGAGGCAGAGCTGGAGGGACCAGTCTGCAGCAAGGGTCTGGACTGCTCTGAGAGTCGCGACATGGATTCCGATCCGGCAGCTGCCTGTCCGATATTTGCCTCAAGTTCTGGATCTGTGTCGGGTAAGCAATATTCGACGGAGCAGAGGAATTGAAGACTGAGTTATCGTCGCGAGGATTTACTCTTCGATCAAATAAGACATTCGCACGCAGTAGCTTGAACTGCAACTTGGTCCTCTTCCATTGATTTCATCTGATGGTTTCTTCGCCACCACCTGAGCACAACACATTATAATCGGCATCCGGCAATCATCTTCACACTGTTATCTTATGAAATCTCATTGACCTTCACAACTGTTGCTGGTAACACCCAACACGGTGCTCAGTATGGCCTCTTCGACTATGGCCCCCCAGAGAAACGAGCCAATCGCAATCGTTGGCAGCGGTTGCAGGTTTCCAGGAGGTGCCAGCTCACCTTCCAAACTATGGGAGCTGCTTCGAGAACCTCGCGATGTACTTTGCGAAATCCCTCCGAGCCGCTTTGATGTTAACGGGTTTCATCATACGGATTCCCAGTTTCCCGGTCGTACCAATGTCAAACATTCCTATCTGCTTCAGGAGGACGTCGCCAAGTTCGATGCCCAGTTCTTCAATATCACAGCGTCAGAAGCAGTGGCTATGGACCCTCAGCAGCGTCTTCTCCTCGAGACCGTATACGAGGGGTTGGAAGGTGCTGGCTTGACAATTGAAGGCCTCAAAGGCTCCAACACGGGCGTTTACGTCGGTGTTATGTACGTCGACTACGAGTCTCTGCAGTTTCGCGACTTGCAGCACGTTCCAACATACCTTGCTATCGGTGAGAACAAAACTCCGTGAAAGACTCAGTTCTGGGACTAACAGCCTCAGGCACCGCTCGTAGTATCGTTTCCAACAGGATATCGTACTTCTTCGACTGGCACGGACCCTCACTGACTGTTGACACCGCATGCTCTTCAAGTTTGGTCGCCGTGCATCAAGCCGTACAGGCTCTGCGTTCCGGAGAGGTCCGCGTTGCATTAGCGGCAGGAAGCAATCTCCTGCTCGGCCCAGAGCCATACATCCACGAGAGTAAGCTGAAAATGCTCTCTCCTGACGGCCGATCTCGCATGTGGGACCAGGGCGCCAATGGTTATGCCCGTGGCGACGGTGTTGCCGCTGTGGTTCTCAAGACGCTGAGTGCCGCATTGGCGGACGGAGACCATATCGAAGCCATCATCCGCGAGACCGGTGTGAACCAAGATGGTCGCAGTCGCGGTATTACGATGCCCAGTGCAGCGGCGCAGGCGTCGCTAATCCGCGCCACGTATGCCAAGGCAGGACTCGACCCGGAGTCGAAGACAGATCGATGCCAGTATTTCGAAGCTCATGGCACAGGTACGCCGGCAGGCGACCCGGTGGAGGCCGAGGCCGTGCACACGGCGTTTTTCGGGAACGGAAACCTTGATGCGGACCGCCTCCTCGTCGGATCCGTAAAGACCATCATCGGCCACACAGAAAGCACCGCTGGCCTAGCTGGTATACTCAAGGTCGTGCAAGCTATGCAACATGGTTTTGTCCCGCCAAACATGCTGTTGGAGAATCTCAACCCGAACGTGCTCCCTTTCTACCGCCACTTGCAGATCCCTCAGGAGCTCACCCCATGGCCGCAGCCTCCGCCAGGGCAAAGCCGGCGCGCTAGCGTGAACAGCTTCGGATTTGGTGGAACCAATGCGCACATTATACTCGAAAGCTTTGAGCCGTCCGACTCTCCAAGAGACGGCGAGGCTCAAGCAGTCGCACCTTTCCTCTTCTCAGCGCAGTCGAAGCAATCACTTCTGTCCAGTCTCGCCGTCCATGCTCAATACTTGGAGCGGCATCCCGACACCAGTCCTACGGACCTTGCTTGGACTTTACGGTCACGCCGCTCTCGTCTCCCCTTACGGCTTGCGTTGCCTGCGTCAACTATTGAGGTCCTTCAGACCAATCTGAAGGGGATAATTGGCAACAGCAACTTCCAGCTCGACTCGAAGGCCGCCGGTACGAGCACCAAGGAGGCCCGCCTTCTGGGTGTGTTCACTGGTCAAGGTGCGCAGTGGGCTCGCATGGGCGCCGAGATCATCGAGACCTCCAAGTACGCAGCTGACTTGCTGGCCACCATGGATGACGCCCTGGCACAACTACCTGAGGCGGATCGCCCGTCTTGGACTTTGAAAGAGCAGCTACTCGCCGATGCGAAGTCGAGCCAGGTTGGCAGCGCTTTTGTTGCGCAACCTCTGTGCACTGCTGTTCAGATCATACTCGTTGAGCTTCTTCGCCAATGCGGCGTAAACTTCGCCGCCGTCGTTGGACATTCTTCGGGCGAGATCGGTGCCGCGTTCGCTGCCGGGGCGCTTTCTTCTGTTGACGCTATCCGCATTGCTTATTATCGTGGTCTGCATTCTCGCCTAGCTGGCGGTAATGATGGAATTCAAGGCGCTATGCTTGCGGTCGGGACAACTTTGGAAGATGCCGAATCCATCTGCAACGACGAGTACTTCTCAGGCAGAGTCAAGGTTGCCGCGTGCAACTCTGCCTCCAGCATCACCATCTCTGGGGATGAAGATGCGATCGTGGAGATGATTGACATTTTCGAAGACGAAAGCAAGTTCGTGCGACGTCTTCGTGTGGACAAGGCTTATCATTCGCACCACATGATCCCTTGTTCACAGCCATATCTGGAGTCTATGAAGCCTTTCTCTATTCAGATGAAGCAATCTGAGTCGAACTGTGTTTGGATCTCCAGTGTCCGCCCTGACCAGTCTCTGGACGAGTCAAACAACCTCGATGCCTCATACTGGGTGGACAACCTGTTATCACCCGTACTATTCATGCAAGCAGTCGAAAAAGCCATGGAGCTTGGGCCCTTCGACGCTGCGATTGAAGTCGGCCCACACCCCGCTTTGAAGGGGCCTGTGATGGATACGCTTCGCGACCAGAAGGTTGACATTCCATACACGGGACTACTCCAACGCAACACCAACGCTATCCAGAGTGTTTCATCTGCCATCGGATATGTATGGACGCACGTCGACAATCTCATCATCGACTTTGACCGCTACGAATCCGCGTTGGGTGGCCCGAAGTTGCACCGTTTCATCTCGGATCTGCCAACATATCAGTGGAATCATATTCAAGGGTATTGGCATGAATCTAACCTTTCACGAAACCTACGCACAAGGAGTCAACCAGTTCATCAGCTTCTCGGCGACTTACAGCCCCAGAGCTCAGCACATCAGGTTACATGGAAGGCAATTTTACGCCCTCATGATCTTCCGTGGGTTCATCATCATAGGATCCAGGGCCAAACGGTCTTTCCGGCAGCTGCATATGCCGCCACGGCGTTTGAAACGATCCCTTTCCTGGCAGATGAAACTCCCATTCAGCTCATAGAGATTAAGGACCTGGTCATCCACCAGGCTTTGGTGTTTGGAAACGACGAACAAGAGTCTGGCATCGAGGTCCGATCCGTGGTTAGCAACATCAGCCGAGAAAACCCCGATATCATCACAGCTCATTTCACGTATGAGGCGTGCATTGGATCGCAGCAGGATTTCCAGCTTGTGGCCAGCTGCCAGATATTCGTTTTCATAGGCGAGGCGTCTCCGGAGACGCTACCGGCAACGGCATGCATCGAGCCTTACATGGTTGACGTGGATACCGAGCTCGCATATTCCTCCCTGAACGATGTTGGCTATGGATACACTGGTCCCTTCAAAGCCCTTTCTGGCTTGAAAAGGAAGCTTGGAAAAGCGTCCGGTTCCCTTGCCTTGACGACCCCCGAGCCCAGCGAAGATGTTCTCATCATCCATCCTGCGGTTTTGGACGCAGCTTTCCACTCAATCATCTTGACTTTCAGCTACCCTAAGGATGGTAGGCTGTGGAGTCTGCATCTCCCAACCCGCATTGACAGGATTAGGGTCAACCCCTCCCTATGTGGACGTCACTGGTTGGGTGCTGCTCAAGTGCCATTTGTTGCGTCCATGTCCGATGAAGCGGAGTCCCGAGACACCTCCGGGTTCCAAGGCGATGTCGATATCCACGCCTACAATGGAGAGCACACCGCTGTTCAAGTGGAAGGACTCCACGTTGTCCCTTTTACTCCTGCATCCTCGGCCGACGACCAACAGCAGTTTTACGCAACGCACTGGGTCCATTCCGAGCCTAACGCCGACATTCCCGGCACGTATGAAGCCTCGGTGCAAGACAAGGAAATGGCAACCATCCTTGAACGTGGCAGCTATTTCTACCTCCGACAATTGGAGCACCAAGTCCCAGAAGACCATCTTGGGCGATCTGACATATACAATGCAGCTTATCTGTCTTTTGCTTCTCACACACACAACCTCGTTCAGCAAGGCAAGCATCGCTATGCGAAAAAGGAGTGGCTCAATGACACACTGGAGGATATTCTTGCTCTCTCTGAGCCGTTCTCGGATCAACCCGAGATCAAGGCTATGCACATCGTGGGAGAACAGATGCCGCGTGCCATTCTGGGAGAGACCACCATGCTTGAGCACTTGATGAACAACGGGCTACTGGCTGACTATTACGCACAAGCCCGAAGTATCACCCGAGGCACCAACCTCCTGGCTGAGACTGTGGTGCAAATTTTGCAGCGGTATCCCGAAAGCAAAATCCTAGAAGTCGGCGCGGGTACTGGTCAGGCGACTAGAGAGATTCTCAAGCGCGTTGACGATAACTTCTCGACTTACACATTCACGGATGTATCGGCGGCATTCTTTGACAAGGCCGAGGCAGAGTTCGAGCAGTTTGAGGACAGAATGCTCTACAATGTTTTGGACCTCGAGCAAGATATGAAAACGCAAGGCTTCGAGGAGCATTCCTACGACATTGTGGTTGCCTCCTTCGTACTGCACGCTACGAAAAGCATCGAGCAAACTGTGCGTCGGGTGCGATCGCTCCTGAAGCCAGGCGGCTACCTCGTCCTTTACGAAGTGACGAACACCGATATCATTCGTGGTACCGCCTTGTTCGGATGTCTCCCTGGATGGTGGCAGGGCATAGATGAAGGCAGAACCCTGGGCGCTTGCGTGTCTGAGTCTAAGTGGGATGCCGTTTTGCGTAAGACCGGTTTCTCAGGAGTTGACACTATGACGCCCGTCAAGGACGCGTTGTCTCTACCCAACTCCGTCATGGTCTCACAGGCGGTCGATGACTGGGTTGAGTTCATTCGGGAACCCCTTTTGGCGTCTCCCTCACTTTTCGTGGGACAGTCCGTCATCCAGCATCTTTTCATCATTGGCGGGACCACTTTGCGCGTTTCTCGTTTGGTGCAGGATATTCGAAAGCTCATCCACGCTTTCTGTGAAGACATTACGGCGGTTGAATCTCTAGAGAGACTCGAAGACTTCGAGATCGACGAGAAGGCCACCGTCCTTGTTCTGGAGGATCTCGATCATCCTGTCTTCAAAGACATCACGGCGGCACGCTGGGATGGTCTCAAGAACCTCTTCGGGTCTGAGAAGTCCATTGCCTGGGTCACCCAAGATCGCATGATCGACAACCCCTTTGGCAATATGGGAGTTGGATTTGCGCGATCGGCACTCTGGGAGATCCCGGAGATTCGCTACCAGTTCATCGACTTTCAGGACGCGCACCGAATCGACGCGAGGGCATTGGTGGAAGCCGTACTACGCTTTCAGATGTCTGGGTCTGTCCAGGAACAGAGTCAACGCAAATCGCTATGGTCGGTCGAGTCCGAGATCGTCATCGACTCAGACGGACGCCAGCTGGTTCCTCGGATAAGACCCGTTGGCACTGCTAATGATCGCTACAATTCGGCGCGCAGGACAATCATCAAGGATGCCCAGACTCGGAGCTCCCATATCACCATTGAGAATGTGAACGATCAATATGCCGTTGTCGAGCGGTCTCCACTGATCAGTAGCTGTGGCGATAGCAGCGCAGTGACTTTGAACTTGACGCATTCAAGCTTGCAAGCCATCAAGACTGATCTTGGCGACGCGTTTTTGGTATTGGGAAGCTGCGCAACAAATGGTACTCAGTACCTAGGCCTTTGGGACTCTGTTGCGTCGGTCGTCAACATACCTCAGAGTAGCTTGGTGTCTTGCTCTGTTCCCCTAGAGTCTGCACCGTTGTTCTTGACGGCTGTCGCTACACACCTCCTGATGCCGGCGCTCACGGGTTCCCTCGTCGAAGGTGATACTCTACTTGTACACAATGCCCCTGGGTCAGTGACAGCGCTTCTCAGGAGTCGCCTTAACTCGGCTGGGATCAAGTTGCTCTGTACAACTTCTTCGAAGCAAGCTGCGGATCAGACCAACTTGATTTACGTCGGTCGATACATGCGTCAATCTGAGATGAGAGCGCTTCTCCCTGCCAACATCTCGCAATGCGTCGATTTCACAACCCGAGACGGATCCCCATCGGTCGCTTCCTGCCTGCCAGCTAGCGTCCCTGTAGTCAACATTTCTTCGCTGTTGCCCGGAACTGCAAAGATAACTCGAACCCCCGGTAACGATGTCAATAGTATTCTCTCATCCACGATAGCTGAGGCACATTCGGCTCTCGCGAACTGCCTGCAGGATCACCCAACAGTCAGCCAAGTTAATCTCCAGGATGTTAGGAGAAGCAATGAAGCAGCCGACGCGCTTACAGTTGTTGACTGGGACGCCTCTTCCGTCTCCATAACTGTCCAACCTGCCACAGCCCATTTCAAGTCAGATCGAACTTACTGGTTGGTTGGGTTGTCTGGAGACCTTGGAATTTCTATTGCAGACTGGATGATTAGAAACGGCGCCAAGTACCTGGTCATCACCAGCCGTAATCCCAAGGTCGATGAGACTTGGCTTAGAACCACGGAATCCAGGGGCGCAGTGGTTCGCATCATCGCCTGGTAAGTCAGCCGTGGAATCATGTTCGAAATCACGCACTAATCCGAGATTTACAGCGACCTCACCGACTACGACGCACTCTCGCAGGCGCACCGCGAGATTTCCGGCACGCTGCCCCCAATCGCCGGCGTGTATCAAGGCGCCATGATCCTTTTAGATATGGCCCTTCGTGATATGGGGGTTGAGGACTTCAGCCGTGTTCTCCGTCCCAAAGTTGATGGCAGTCTGAACCTCGATCGTGTACTGGGAGATGAACCACTGGATTTCTTCATCTTCTTTTCCTCCGTTGCCACTGTCGCAGGTAACCCGGGCCAGGCAGGCTACACGACCGCCAACCTGTTCATGAGCGGCATGGCTCAACAAAGACGCAAGCGTGGTCTGCCGGCGTCAGTCGTGGAGCTGGGCTTGATCATGGGTACAGGATACATCACCCGCGAGAAGGGCGACGTCCTAACGCGGCCTTCATTCGAACGAGGACTCTTGACTATTTCGGAATACGATGTCCATCAGACGTTGGCAGAGGCTATTCAATATGGCCATCCTGAGTCGGGTGCCGAGTGGCAGATTTCTATCGGACTGAGACGGATGCCGGCCAACGCGCCAAACCGACCGCAGTGGTACAACTATCCTCAGTTTGCGTGTCTCACGGAGAGGGCCGCGGTTGAGGACACAAGCGCGGCTAACACACAGGCTGGCCCAACTATCAAAGACCGATTGGCCTCTGCAACGACGAAGGATGATGTTGAGGAAATTATCACTGGTGAGATCATGACGTTTCTTGTCCCCTTCCTGAGGGCATCCATCACTAACACAACACCAGAATCCTTCATCGCAGAGATGCGAAAAATGCTTCATCTCAGTGACGATTACGCCATCACCCCCGCCGTCCGCACTGACGAGCTTGGTCTTGACTCGCTCGTCGCTGTCAGGATCCGATCCTGGTTTCTCAACAACTTCCAGGTGAACATTCCTGCACTTCGAATCCTCAAGGGCGAAGCGCTTCAAGGCCTCATCGACTATGCCGTGGAAGAGATTCCAGAGGAGTTGGCACCCAAGTTGTTCTCCCTGCAGTCAGAAGACGACTCATCATCCTCTGAAGACTCGTCGCAAAAGTCAGGGACACCGCCGTCTACGGCTCCTGAAACGGAGACTTCATCCATCGTCAACGGCGACCTCGGCCTCAAGGAGGAAAAGGAGTTAGGACCACGAGAAGTCCAAATGGAAAGGTTCGGGCGCTTATCTTACACCCAGTCAGTATTCTTGTTCGTGCATGAGCTCTTGCCTGACAAGACCACTCTGAACAACACAGTTATGCTCCATCTTAGTGGAGAAGTACGCATCCCCGAACTTTCCCGCGCCGTGCGAGCACTGGGAGAGCGCCACGAATCGCTGCGAAGCTGCATCTGCGAACACGATGGCCAACCTAGCCAAGGAGTCATGAAAACTCCGTCCTTCGGCCTCGAGCACAAGAGGATATACACCAAAGACGAACTATTCAACGAGTACGCTGCTCTTCGTGGCCATGTATTCGACTTGAGCCGCGGTCAGACCAGCCGGACGATCCTGCTATCATACTCGCCACGAGATCATTACCTTTTGATGAGCTCGCACCACATCTTTTTCGATCGAGCGAGTAACGATGCCGTCATGGGCGACTTGGAGCGACTGTACAACGGAGTTCCTCTTGAGCCGAGCCCTCTTCAATACCTCGACTACTCTGACGATCAGCAAAGACAATACTCATCGGGACAGTGGGACGAGGCTATCGGCTTCTGGAGTCGGGAGTTTACCACCATACCCGATGTTCTGTCGCTTCACCGCAGCCAGATTTCCGAGCGACGGCCCCTCGAACGTTACGCATCCCGCATCCCGGACTTCCGCATCGACAAGCAGCTCTCGGCCAAGATTCGACAAGTTGCGAGAAAGTACCGCGCCACGCCGTTCCACTTCCACCTCGCTGCCTTCAAGGTGCTTCTACATCGATTCCTCGGCACAACCGATGTTTGCATCGGCATCGCGGATAGCTGCCGCAGAGACGACCACATGCGCACCGGCATCGGTCCGTTTCTCAACATGCTACCCCTACGGATGGCCGCTAGCGCGGAGCAACCGTTCCTCGGCGCCTTGGACGAGGCTCGAGAGAAGAGTTTCGCGGTCCTCGCCAACTCAATCCCTCTCGAAGTTATTCTGAACGAGCTCCGAGTCTCGCGTCAGGCCACACACACGCCACTGGCACAAGCATTCATGAACTACGCCGAGAACGATCTTGAAGATGGTCAGACATTCCTCGGCTGCCGCATGAAGATGATGAAGCAGGAAATGGCCGAGCTTCCCTACGACATCACTTTCACTGTCATCAACAACACTACCGGCGACACGCGCATACTCCTGAACTTACAGGAGTCCCTATACACGGATTCTGACGCGCAAATCTTGCAGCATGGATACGAGGATATTCTCCGAGAGTTCGCGAACGCACCGGACCAGACGGTTGGCAATAAATGGCACTTCAGACCTGCGGTTCTACAAAAGGCTCTTGCACTAGGACGCGGTAAGTACATTTAAGAAGGCCTCGAGCCATTCCTCGTTCTCTCAATTCTTGGTTTGGAGTGGCTCACTGACACCCGACTAGGCACGGATTTCAACTCCACCTGGCCCGAAACCCTGGTACATCGATTCGAAGGCTTCTTTCCAAGCGTCGCGGAGAAAGTAGCCGTCACCGACAGTGCTGGTGCCTCAATGACCTACGCACAGCTTTCTTCTCGGATGAGTACGATTGCATCCGAGTTGCTCCGCCAAGGTGTGCAACCCGGCTCGAAAGTTGCCGTCTTCCAGCACCCGTCAGTTTGTTGGATCCCTTCCCTTCTCGCAATTCTCAGGATTGGCGCCGTCTATGTACCGCTCGACGTCAACACTCCCGTCGCCAGACTGTCCTCGATCGTGCGCGACTGTCAGCCGGCCTCGATTCTTGTTCACGAGTTCACGATTGGTGAGGCAGAGAAGCTGGACACTGAACCGAACCAAATCTTCATCAACGTGTCAGGTTTGAAAGACACAAGTGAGGAAGCGATTCCCAACCTCGCTCGGCCAGACGCACCGGCAATCATCCTGTACACCAGTGGCTCGACGGGAACCCCGAAGGGAGTCATCCTACGCCACAGCAGCCTGAAGCACGAGTTCGACCATTGTGCTGCCACGTATGGGATGAATGAGCATGATGTCGTCTTGCAACAGAGCGCATGGAGCTTCGACTTGTCCGTGACGCAAATCTTCTTGGCGCTTGGCGTAGGAGCCCAACTGCATACAGTTTCCCACACCATGCGTGCAGACTCGCATGCGATGGCTGAGCTTATCCAACGTCAAGGAGTGACGGCCACCTACGCGACTCCAACTGAGTACAAGAGCTGGCTGAGGCGCGAAAGCCAGGACGGATTACGGTCATCGGCCTGGCGCCTGGCCCTGGTTGCCGGAGAACCTGTCACGGAGCCGCTTCTCCAACTCTTCCGCGAGGTGGATCGCGATGGCCTCCGTCTTTTCAATGTATACGGCCCGACTGAGACGACATGTGGCTCGACCAAGACGGAGCTATCGTATCGTATCCCTGGTTTCTATCAAGGTACAATCCCCGTCGGAGTGGCATCTGCAAACGAGTGGTTCTACATTCTGGACGCAAGCCAGAACCTCCAGCCCGTGGGCCAGACCGGTGAAATCGCCATCGGTGGTGTGGGGGTTGCAATGGGATATTTAAACATGCCTGACCGTACTCAAGCATCCTTTTTGCCGGATCCATTCGCGACTGAGGAAGACTCGAGGTGCGGGTGGGCGACCATGTACCGGACAGGCGATGTCGGGTTCTTGCAGCACGATGGCTCGCTTGTACTGAAAGGCCGCATCGGGGACGACACCGAGATTAAGCTCAATGGCGTGCGGATAGACCTGAAGGACGTGGAGAACACCGTACTACAAGCGTCCGGTGGTGCTCTTGCCGACGCCGTAGCCTCCCTCCGCAGCACTTCTGAAGGGGCGGTTAAGTTCATGGTGGTCCATGTCGTCTTTTCGACTGAGAACCTGGCCGAGGATAGGAGCAAGTCCCTCCAAAGACTTCTTGCCGAGTTACCACTGCCGCGAAACATGTGTCCATCGGCCCTCATCCCGATCGATGCCCTTCCCAGGACCGTGGCTGGCAAAGTCGATCGGCGTGGGATCTCCTCATTGCCCATCCCGCGGGGGCTTTTCCACAAGGCCGAACACGAGACAGAGGATATTGCAGGGTCAGCAGCGCTTTCCAAGACCGAAAGGACACTTCGACGCTTTTGGGAAACCGTGATCCCCGATGAGCTGGTAGGATTGCACCGGATCGAAGCCAGCTCGGACTTCTTCACTATCGGAGGCAACTCTCTTCTTTTGATCGAGCTGCAAGGCCGAATCCGCGCGGATCTCGGCGTCTTTGTCGCCCTGCCACAGCTCTTCCAAGCTACCACCTTGAGGTCGATGGCCCGACTTCTTCCCGGAATAAAAGACACCGACCCGGAAAGCGACACTCGAGTTGATTGGGCTAGTGAAACCGCACTGCTGTCCGGGCTGGCAGCGCCACAACTCATCGCCAATCCGGCCGCAGCCCCGCCTCGCACAGTTGTGCTGACGGGAGCCACGGGGTTTCTCGGCCGGTATCTTGCCAGATCTCTGGTCAACGAGGAGCACGTCGAGAAGGTCATCTGCATAGCCGTCAGAAACTCAACAGATCAAGCTCGCCAAGATCTCCTCTCCCAGCTCGGGCCCAAGGCGGAACTCTTCGAGGGCGATCTAAGCTTGCCCCGCCTCGGCCTCACTGAAGACGCAGCTCTTCGGATCTTCCAGGCCGCAGATGCAGTCATTCACAACGGGGCCGACGTGTCGCATCTCAAGACATACACTTCACTTCGCGCCGCCAATCTCGGAGCAACGCAAGAACTCGTTCGGTTGTGCAGTCCCCGGCACACCCCGCTGCACTATATCTCCACCACGGGTGTTGCCATGTACACGCCTTTCGAGGCGCTCGCAGAAATCTCAGTTCGTGAGCATACGCCCCCCGTGGACGGCCGACATGGCTACGTTGCCTCCAAGTGGGCCAGCGAGGTATACCTCGAGAACGCACACGCAGAATGCGGCTTGCCGGTCTACATCCACCGGCCGTCGAGCATACTGCGTCCTGAAGCCGACAGAACGGGCGAGAACCCGGCGGCCGACGTCCTGCAGAACATGCTCGACTACTCGCGGCGCGTCCGCGCCGTGCCGGCAGCACCTGGTCTGAGTGGCTTTGTCGACCTGGTACAGCCTGAGACGGTCACTGACAGGGTGGCGACCGCTGTCATGTCTGGAGCTAGGAAGGGCGGTGTCGATTACGTCCACGAATCGGGCGACTTGGAGGTGGATGTGAGGCTCATCAGAGAGTACCTGAAGAGTGAAACAGGAGAAGATATAGAGGCACTGGCCCTGGACGATTGGATTGATCGCGCCGAGGAGATTGGCCTGTCACCTGCCATGGCTGCCGTGTTCCGGAGTTCGTTGGGGTCTGGGGAGCCGATGAATCTGCCCAGGCTGCTGAGGCGTTAATCATTTAGTGAATTGGAATTGAGTTTGTAGCATTAAATTTCACATCGTTGATCAATTGTTGTGTTTGTATTATAATCGCCTGTCTTCTCCTCTTTAACAACAATCAGAGTCTCGTTCTCTGATAATATGCACAATGATAATTCGAACCGGTTATCATAAACCTCCCAAAATGTTGATATATATTCTGCACCATGACTGTCTGAAGTGAAGTCGTTAACTACGTGTGAGAGATGACTATTCAGCTCATAAGCATGTTTGCACCCACATAAACGCGAGACCATGCCAAGCGTGGACCAAGGCCGATGTTTTGGGTGCATCGATTGAAATATCTATTGCGAGGTCTTCCTCGGTTTTCTTCCTTGCAAAGGCCCTTGCATGTATACAGCTCCATTACCAGTAACGCGAGATGGAAAGTCCTTCCGATGTTTCTCGACTTCCTGGGCTGATATGCCCACAGTTGCGGGTTCTTCCCCTTGAACAGACGGCTGAATCACCGACTCTTCTTCATCCTCCGATCTGTCATCTTTCGCAACCCCCAAGAAGACAAACTTGTAGGCGCTTCGCAGCAAGCAATACAGCCAGAACAGATTCAGGGCTTGAAGCGCAGCCAACAACCCAAATGTGATGACGTTCGACAAGGGACATTTGTACTGCTCGGTTTCCCAGTTCAGCTCGTACGGCCCGACGGTACTGAACTCGGAGCCAGGCAGCGCCGAGTAAAGAATCCGCAGGTTGATGTAGTGTCTGAGATAAATCCACACAGCAATACACACACCAAACGACACGCCCTGAAGCCTGTTCTCAAGATAATTCAGCGACTTTGAGACGGCCAGAAAGAAGTCGCTGATGTCGTGCGTGATGTACACCGCGATGCCCATATAGGCGAAATGGAAACGGTAGCTCAGCGCGACGAGTGCCACCGTCACGACGTGGTGCGCGACGAGTTCCTGGAAGTCCTTGCGCCGCTGTTCCAACCCCAGGACCATGACCACCACCTGCTGCGCCCAGAAGGCTGCCTGGAGGAGGTAGTAGCACTTGAAGCTGGCATCGTGCGTACGGTGCGGGAAGTCCGCGTACATTCCGTGGGTATTGAAATACCACACTGGTGTGCGGCTCATGACGTGCATACCCCACGGGGCAATAGCAGTGACATAGAGCGCTGTGTACATATTCTCCGCGAAGCGTGCCCGCTTAGCTCGCGACTTGATGCCCCATACGCGAGCAAGCGGCCCTAGCATCTCCTGCATGCAGACCTCGCGCGTGAAGGTCAGGACTACGGTGTAAAAACAGACAAATGCGATGTCCCAGGGGCCCTTCCCGTATTGTGTCGTGTTGCCGCTGTCATTTTCCAGCTTATAGGATGGGAATATGAAGTGGTATGTGGGGTTGGACTCGGTCGGGTTGATGGCGTATAGGGAGAGCATCGCAATCGTGAGGATCAGAGGAAATGTCCAGATTCGGCGGCGCATGAGGGCGAGGACATTTGCCTTTTTGCGTTTCGAGAAGCCTTTCGCGTGATGGTTGACCAACAACCGAGGCGGGACCTGAGCACCTGGCTGTAACTCCATGTAGTTGGCACCCATGTCGTCCTCGAACGCCGCGTTGTCGCCGTGGTGTCAGTTTTGATTATCGTCGAAATCGATCGGTGGTGCTAGGACGTAGATGAGCGGACGCTACTTGGACTCTTCGTTTGCGACTCCGACTTGGAGCTCTTCGAGGTAGCTTCGCCAGAAGGAAAAGACAATGACGGGAAGGAACGTGCTCGAGTTCTCACAGTCCGACGTCTGAAAGACGCACAATAAAGAAAGGATTATTTAGACGAGATCCAGACCTCGACAGGAATCAAATAAAGTAGGTGGCCTTCAACAGCGGCAGGACATTCCGCCGCAATTAAACAACTGTCCCTGTTGGGATAGCTTAATGCAGGGGCCGCCACTGTTGGTTGGTCGTTGGGCATGACAAACAAGTAATCAAATTGAGGGGTCAGCAGCAGGGGATAAGAATCAATATAACTAACCTGATGCTTTCTTCGTCAAATTTGGGCAGAGTATGGACCCTCACGAAATAGCCTCTATAATTCGGGAAACGACAAAACGCGTTGCAACATGTGTCAACATCAGACTCAGCGCACTCGCAAGGGCGCACTTGGATCGTAGCCTCTACTTTCCTGCGTTCAAGCACGTTCCAAGCCTGAGTCTGTAGACGAGCGTTTACCCATGTCTCGGCGGCTTCTGATACGTAGTATTGAGACCCTTGTTTTCAATGTTCTTTGCCACTTCTGCCTTGCCGCGATGGAACCAGTCCGGGGTGAGGAATGGAAAAGGGGGAGACACGCTACGAATTTTTACCCTCCGACTCGGAGGTCTATGTCGTCATATTGCCCCGAACGGAGCGGGTCCAAGCCGACAGCAACCCGTTAGAGGTCCATCGGGGTCTGCACACCGCCTTCAGCGCCTGGTGCTTTGGCATTAATCCATTATCGAGATGGTTGTTCACTGACAGAGTGATCTGCTGAGTTTTGCACCACCCTCTTATTGAAATATAGGTTAAAACCTATGGAGCAATAGCTGCTCCAGGTCAGGGACAAAAGGTCTAATCAAGCTTTCGACGTGTTTGATGCAATGATGCAGATGACAGACTCATATCCGGCGTGTGATGTTTGATGAAATGAATATTAGAGTGTATATCATTTGCGAGTCTTGGCCGGCCAATTGAAGCTTGCTATCGCCGCAACCTCAATCAATCTGCTTCTCGCAACCAATTCTGTTGAGTAATTCCTTCCTGCCACTATGGGTTCTGACGCCGCTCACCCTTGAGCTCGATTCCTTCTTGGCGCTGGAGCGTTCCCAGGATTTCAAGTCAATGGACTCTACGCCGACGTCCTCCTCGATTGCTTCCACCTCCTCGTACTCGACCACCTCCTCTTCCTCCTCGTCGACCTCCACATCGCTCCTAACGTCTTCGGCAGGGGACCCCTTCAGCACGCGCACGGTGACACGGATGATGAAGAATGACCATGCACAAATGACGACCTCGAGAGCGAGAAGAAAGGTCAAGAAGCCCTTCGTAATGCCACTGGTCATGCACACCGTTCCCGCGGGGTCTTTGAAAGGTTCGAGCAGGTGGGACCAGCCTTCTTCAGGCGGTGCAAAGGGGCCGTCGATCTCACCTGCAGCGCCTCGGAAGCATGGTTGCTCCAAGGATTGAGGGAGGTCGTAGTAGACGCTCCAGCAAGTCATCAGATAGAAGACATGGCGCGTCCAAACCCACACCAAGAGAAACACGCCGAAAATCACGTCGCAGAGAGTGGCGAAGCCGATGTACTTGAGACACTTGGCCAGCTATCGTGACTATTAGTAATAGGCTTGTCCCAGGAGTCCATTCAGATGGAGCTTACCGGGAATATCAATTCTATAACGTCCATTAGGACCAGAATCAGATGCCCAACCCGGGTCTGGTGGTAGGCGTAGCACGCGGCGATGAGGGAAATAGTGATTGCATGGTGAACAATCATCTCCCAGTAGTCTTTGCGCCGCGCTTCAATATTCACGGAAATGACCTGCTGGACCCAGTATGCCCATTGCACCATGATATATCCCTTCATCAACCCGTTGAGTTCTCTTTGGGGCCAGTTGGCCCAGAGCCCCTTCATGTTAAGGTAGTACGGCGCTTTGTAATAGAGGTACTGGACACAGGATTAGTCGTTGGAAAGGCCGCGGCCGTAGGTGAAGCCTTTTACAGTACCATTCCTAGAGGCCAAAGGGCGCTGTAGTAGACCAGCATCCAGCCCTGCTCTGAGAATCTGGCGACATCCTTCTTCTTAGATATACCCCAATGCTGGCCGAGAGGCCCAAGGACATGTCGCATCATGGCAGCGCGAATTCCAATAAGGAGTACCACGCAGAATGCGACGAAACAGAGATCATCGTGACCGGCGCCATATTTGCCTGTGGTCGTGTTGTGATATGAGAGCTTGAAGAACTTGGATGTGTATGGGCGCGCCGCCGGGACGCAGACGTGAGCGAGGAGTAGAGGGGCAATGGTATGGAACGCGAGGCCTGTTCAATTAGACGGTCCTGTCAGCATTGGCTGGCGACATGGCATGATGCACGGGATTGATAGAGATGGTCAGCTCCATCGCGACTTACTGGTCTGATTGTCAAACAGCCATTGGATTACTTTCTTCCTTCGGCTGTCATCAATGGCTTTCGCCTTTTTGAGCGCGGGCCTGGACGTTCTCGACGAGACGGGCGCGCGCTCCGTGTGCGCGATGTCGCTGGTGGATTCGCTCATGGTCCTTCACTTGTAGGCGTGGGCAATCTCCACGATAGCTGCCGGCGAAAAGTAACAGTGTTCAAACAGAATTTGTGTGACAAACAGCCATTTTGTTGAGAAAGTGTCCGTAAGCGCGAGTCGCTTAAAGAGTAATGCTCCTGCGCCCCCCAACAGGGCGAACTGCCAGCTGAGTAGTTGAACCCTTCGTCGCGCCTCGCAGGGGCGGTGAGACAGGCCAGGGGGGATGCAGGGATGCCACATTGGGCAGACGGGATCTTAGAATTGGCGGCCATTAGATCTGAGCCTTTTCAAGCCTCGATCTGGGCAGACTGCGCGTCTCCATCGAAAATCTGGGTTGTGAAACAACGGGGCCGACGTCGAAGAGGCTTCATCGCACTCTATGCCTGTTCATAGCAAACACGAAGCGGGCGACCTGTGAGTTATACATCCAGTTCCTGTTCACAGTGGTTGTGGTTTTGTCGCCAATTGACCACAAGCATGCATGGCATGCAAGACTCAGGGGGGACTAGCATCAGGCCATCCCCACACCGATCATATTTGGTTGACTTGGGTGCGTGTGATCGTGCCATTGCCCCAGTCCGCGAATGCCTGTTAGCTGTGGACCCTGACGCTTGAGTTAGGCCTACTGCCGGAGCAAGAACGATAGGAATGGCTGTGCCTTGGAATGCTCATCAACCTGGCTCAAGGTACTGGCAAGTGACCCGCGGCCTGTTCAATATGAATACTTGATCTTGTAACACTTACTAGCAGACAGAGAACGGCAGTGTATTTGGCGGCCAACTCGAGATACTCTTTTGTGGCAGCGACCCACTTGCGTCCAGGTGCGAGCATTTAATTCGCTAGATTAGTCGGCATCACGGGGATCCACACATTCGGCGACCGGTGGGGTTCGCCGGCCGTTCACATTCACCATGCCGGCAGTTGACCCCGCGTTGTCGTGACTGTCTGTCGGAGCGCGCCGAAAGCCTGTTGTGCGGAAAGGCATGTTGCTCAATAACCTTGAGTTCGTCTCCGGGCGAGAACACGGCTCGACCATGAAATTTGGTGAGCAAAGCTTCGTTCTGGTCTGGTGGGGAATCGCCGACTGCAATATATGGTGTCCTGAGCTCGTCGAGTCAACCCGGAACCATCCGTCGCTTCATGGCTTGCATTCAGTGAGACACTCTCTTAATGCAGTACTTCCTCAATCATCCACCCCGCCATCGCCATCCTTCATCTCGCGCAACTATTACCGACGCAATGGCTGCGTTTCCAGCTGTTCTAGCCCAAGCCACCATCCATAAGTCCGATAGCCTCTCGTCTCGCCCTGGCCGGTGCCCTGTGCTGTTCCATAACTCACGCTGTCTTCAGTCCAGTCGATGTGTACGTTACCACGTCATCCTTATTTTCATTGTTACTCACCGACGCTGCCACAGCGTCGAGGCCAAGATCCCGCTCGACCCGGCCACCTAAAACTGCTGTATGATTGATGGTTTCCGACAAGTTGTTCGAAATTAAGGCGTCGGCGATCTGTTGATGGGCTTGGTTCCAGCATTTGCGGGCCATTTCATCCAAGGTGTCAAGTTTGGCCCGTATGTATGAACTTTCAAAACAGTCGATCGATATCATTGGATTCGAAAAGGAAGACAAAACTGCACTGCGGTATTTTTCAAATCTGCCGCCTGCGTCGAATGCTGCTCCGCGATTACTCTTTGCCCTGCAGAGGCCACCAGTGTCTAAACCCGCAAGGGTGTCCATAATCAACAAAACGAAGGGGATGCCCGGCGAAGGTACTGTCTCCTGTGTATCTAAGATTGAAGGCGAGTTTGGATTCCGTGGCTCTTTTGCCGAACTTCCAGTGCGTCTTTCCATAGCGGCTGACTCACTGCTGGTCAGTTTGTCATCTACGGCAGCATCAATAAGTCTCTTAGTAATGCTCCCAGTTTGTGCGCTCTTCCATTTTATAATTACCCTACTTTTGTAATTTTAGGTACTGCCAATTACATGGAGATCGCAAGGTAAATGGCGCATGAAAATGTTTCAAAATGTCATGGATAAGGTGTAAGCATGGGCAATATGTAGTACTTTTGTAGGGTCGAAGCATCCATTCATTCGATTGCGTATTTGATCGCTTTTTACTCTACCTACTATATCATATTATATTTGAATCTCTAGTGTTACACTTTCACCAACAACCGCTCCTGTCTTGGCCTCACAACTCCATAGTTGTATCCAACCAACGATCTTGGCTTGGCTTCCGTGAGCGTAACACTGTATCCACTTGACCTGTGCTTCTATGTGTGACTACGTGTATGAAGTTAGAGCGTAGCTTGTACTTGGTTCGCCAGGCGCGTGGTGGTGTCGATGAATGCCTGGCTGCGCAGCGTGCTTATGTTGCTGTTCTTAGCAAAAGGCGCTCATCCATGACTCGCCAGCGATGCCCCCCTCAGCCGCACCGGCCGACTATAAATTGTACCAACAATCCCTAGTTCCACGATAACGAAGGATGCGTGCCTCCTAAATCTTCCTCGCAATGGGCAGATGGTGGTCAAGGACGCCAAGTTGAGAGACGAACTGGCCCAGGAACACAACCTGCTGTGCTTTGAGATGGAGGCGACGGGAGCTCTTGCTGGCTTTCCTTGTAATTTCGGACTATTGCGACTCGCAAAAAACGACCAGTGCAACGGCTATGCAGCCTTAGAAAAATGCTATAAGTTTTGATTTGTATCCTCATGCGGTCAGAGATTGTGCTCAAACAGGCGGATTCCCGTGTCCGCGTTTCCTACACGGACGAGAGGCTGAAGATTGAGCGACTCTCAGGAAACAGGCTGCCAATGCAGCAATGCTACATCAACCTTTCCATCGTGGAACATAAAGAGAATAGCAAAGTTTTTTTTTTTTTGAAAGTCAATTCGTCGCCCAGCATTCCACTGTTTTCGCTGCTGAAGCGGTTGAAAATTGAGCCCCCGGCAGGGGTTATCACGTCGAGTTGCAAGACATCTTTAAATCCCACAGAACGTTCGAAGTCACAGCAAAAGAAATTCGCAGAATCTTTATTCGAGGTCGTGTAGGCGTCGGAAAGACTACCTTTCGTAAGAAGATTGTCGACGAGTTTCTCTATCAGCAGAGATGGAATGACATATTCGATCGCCTACTCTGGATACCCTTGCGGCACCTGAGGGAGCGAACAGGAGCTCATGGATATACTTTCGAACATCTCTTCTGCGATCTGTACTTTCCTAAAGAATGTGGTAGAGATTCCTCCAAAGCGCTATGGAAGGCTTGTAAACTACCAAATGGTCTCAAGAGCCTCTTTCTCCTCGACGGCTTAGATGGGATCTTATACGACATCTCAAGTCACAGCGACACGCACCGGTTCCTCAAATATCTCATGGACCAACCGAATGTTATCGTCACAGCTCGGCCCTCTACTGCAGTTTCTGCAACCTTCTTGCCTTTCGACATTGAGTTGGAGACCATCGGATTTGGTTCGGATCAAGTCGATACATACGTCCAGAAAGTCGAACCTGAGAGGGCCGATGCTATCCGGTCTTATGTTGATTATGACCCTCTTGTTGGGGACCTTATCCGAATTCCTATTCAGTTGGATGTACTGTGTTATTCCTGGGGAGATATGACTGAAGAGGTACCAGAGACCATGACCGACCTCTACCGAGCTATAGAAAAAAGCCTCTGGAGAAAAGACATCCTGCGGTTAGAGAAGAAAGTAGACGGGCAGCTTGTAACTAAGACAGACCTTGGTCACCCTGATTGCGCCAGAGATCTCGTACAAGATGAGGCGTCTTTCCTCGAATATTTTGTTTTTACTGGGATGTGCAACGGCGTTGTGGTCTTTGACGCCTCCTTCCGAAGTGCCGTGTCTAAGCAGATGCATCCTGGGACGATGATCGAACGTACGCTCTCCATAGTATCCTACCTTCGGTCATCGGACCCCTCGGTTTCGGCAAAGAGTCGAACTTATAATTTTCTTCATCTTACTCTGGAAGAGTACTTCGCGGCTCTGTACTTTGTCCGGATATGGCAAAGTAGCGAATACCTCACATGCATACAACTTGATTTCAAAGAACGCACAAACCTTACCACCAATCACTCGCGGTCGCCTCATACGAAAAGGACGAAATGGAAACCAGAGAATTCTTCGCAAAATATGAGTACTCGGTGCGGTACGTTATTGTATGGCGCTTTGCTGTCGGCTTACTGAGCTCGGAAGCCGCAGAAGCCGAGACGGAGACTGTGGCATTCTTTGAGGCACTCAGTTCGGAGCCACTCGATCCCCTGAGCCCATCACATCAGAGGCTGACGATACATTATTTGAGCGAGTTGCCGTCTTCTAACGTTTTGGGGTTGTGGAGTTGTGGCGGCATATACTGGAAAAAGCGTATATCTGTATGGCTGGATTTCCAGATCAAGACAAGCAAAAGACCAATCGCAGCCAGTCTCGTGGAAGAGATAGAATTCCCACCCATGGCTATTGAGTACGTTTCGCACGAGCAGATGATGAGACAGCCAAGGCTGTGCTGGAGTTTCTGTCGTCGAGAGACAGAATTCAAAGTCTGGCTGTGCAGGCCTTTATGCCTTACCTCCAAGGCGACCTATCGGTCGCCATAAACCGATCAGTACTCAGTCTAGTATCCAAATCAACCGAGACGCTACATCACAATTGTCTGAATATTGTTGTAACAAGGCTCGACGATCCAGATCCAGATCCAGATCCAGATGTTAGGTGGGCTGCTGTTCGAGCCCTGCGTGGCCAGTCGTGTCTACTGCTGTTGGCTGTTGATGCTTTAGTGGCACTCTGCAACCACCAGAGTTTGGATGTGAAGTGGACTACCATAAAAACCTTATGCAGCCAATCGAATCTCCCGTCAGAGGCTGCCGGCGCCGCAATAGCAAGTCTTGATGGCTCGTCTTCGAACATTAGGCACGCAGTCGTTGAGACACTGAGCCGCCAAATCAACCTACGTCTAGAGGCTGCTAATGCCGTTGTCCTATGTCACGATGACCATGACCCAGATGTCAGACGAGCTGCCGCTTACGCCGTACGTAGTCAACCTCGCTTACCACCAGAGTCGATTGCGTCATTATACCACGTCTTGGTCGCAAAGACGCGAATATCAGACAGGTCGCCATTTACGCCCTAGGAAGTCTTCCAAGCCTACAGCCAGAGGCTAGCTTGCTATGCCACTTGTCAACTACCAGCATGTAGTTGTGGGACAGTCTGCCACTGCGGCTTTGTCTGGCCAGTCAAGTCAACCTCCAGAGGCCGTTGACAGCTCTTCGAAACCTTTTGACGACGAAGAAAAACACAGAATTTCGGCGGACTGTTATCAAGAGCTCGGATGACCGATCAGTATTACCACCACACATTGATGACAGTATTATGGCACACCTTGACAATCAAGACGTACATACTAAAAAAGCTGTCTTTGAAGCGCTGTGTATTCAACAGGACCTACCAAAAGACGCCATTGACAGAATCGTGGCTTACCTTGACGATCAAGAAGCACATACCAGAGAAGGTGCTGTTAAAGTCTCGCGTAGTCAACGCCACCCACCACAAGACGCTATCAATGGTATATTGGTATGTTTTAATGATACAGATGGTAGAGTCAGGCGGACTGCCGTCAGAGCACTGGGCAGCCCTTCTTTTTCAAATCAACGGCCAAAGGCTGCCAGTACACTCAAAGCACTTTTTGACAATAAAGATGCTGATGTTAGACGGGCTGCCGTTGAGACCCAAAGCAGTTGCTCATTTTCAAGCAAACGGCCAGAGACTGTCAGTGCTCTTGTGGCACATCTCGAAAACAAAAACGGTGGTATTAGGCGGGCAGCCAACGAGGCCTTGCATAATCTTTTGGTTCTAAACCAAAAAGTTGGAAATTGATATGTCTATCATAGCACATCTCGACGGTGAGGATGTCAATTTAAGGCGGGCTGCTGTTAGGTTTTTAAGTAGTCGTGTATCTTTTGGCCAGCAGCCAGAGGCTGCTACTGCTATCATAGCTCGTCCTAAAGATCAAGATGCTGATTTAGGGCAGTCAGCCTTCAAGGCTTTAGAGGACCCTTTGGTTCTAGGCCGACGGCCAGATGTCACTCTGCCGTCATAGCACGTCTCGACAATGAGGATGCCGGTGTTGTGCGAGCTGCTTCGAAGGCCTTGACAGCCTACTCAGGTGGATCAGATGAGGGTTGTTCTAAGTTGCTCAGCCTGCCGGCTTCAGTGTTTACTGATCAGGACATGGTTTCATTGCTGATCCAGGATGGGCATCATCATGCGGCGTTTTTTTCGCGCGTGCCTCACGAAAGGCAATTAGGGGAGACTTTTTGCCAGCGTGTGTAAAGGAAATGTTAACTGGTGTACAGTTCACAACAAGGTTCTAGGCTTGCAGTGGGAAGGTTCTGGAAGCGGTAACAGGATCGATTGTTGGACAACTGGCCCCAAAGCTAGCGTAAAGGACTCTCTTCGGTACACAATTATCCTATCGGGGAAACCAAGAGAAACGGCGGGGCTTGTCGAAGGAGCATGATGAGGTGGAATCCATAATGCATCACAGTCCAGTTCATTATCCCATTCAGAGTTTCTTTTTACCTTTAAAAATTATGCCCGATTCATTCCTCCACTCCCAAACATTATACGCGTCCGATGACAGCAAGCACCGTTAGTCTTTGGTGTGGGCTTGTTTTGGTCATATGCCTTTGCGCAAAGCTTCAGACCCTTGGCGCCAACGCAGTGGCGTGGACTGAAGACTCCCTGTCCCGCTTCCGTCTGAAATGAACCCTCCTTGCATGGGAAAAGGACTGCAGACGAGTGCGGAGTATGTCTAGATGACCCCAAGCCTCCAGCTCTTGGACCAGACGACATGGCACATAGTGTCATATCGAAGTAGACAAACGCGAAGCGAGTGAGTGATATTGCCCATGTGCGCCTCATCAAAAGGAAATATTGCGACCCTCACCCCGCAAGATGAGACCAGACGATCACCAGTACCAGCAAACCTCCAGGCAAAAAAAGAGACCGACGCACGACGGATGTGATAGCCTTCCGCTGACGTATTCGAGCGTTGTTGATTTCAGAAAAGATGGTTCTGCAATCGCGATCACAGTAGACTCTAATTCTTTTGGACCTGGAGGGTTCTGCATATACTTTGCGGGTACTGTTGGCTGCACGTGGCATCTGAAGCAGCTCGAAGTGAGTGAATAAGGCTGAGCAAGAAATGTTCAGAGCGCGTAGACGTCAAGCGAGGAACAATGGTCTTCACAACTCTTGGTTGTGTCACGTGAGATTCAACAGGGGGCAAAGCAAAAAGGGAATTTTTTGGTGTTCAACCAACTTTGTGCCTGTAATGGACCAGCCCAAGGCTTGCGGCCCCTAGGTTCTGCACGGGGATCCAGCTTTAGGGGGGGTATTCTAAGTTCAGGGGGGGGAGTAAAGCCCTCAGCACTATATAGATAAAAAAAAGGTAACTAAATTAGTCCTAGCATATACTCAGTATATCCTAAGAAATATAGTACCTACCTTTTATAACTATAGAAGGCTTAAGAAGTACTAAGGTTACTAAGTCCTTTATAGTTATAGAGGGTAAGTACTAAATTTTAAGGTATAAGCTTAGTATATACTTAGTATATCTTAAGAAATATAGTATTTACTTTTTATAACTATAAGGGACTTAAGAAGTACTAAGGTTACTAAGTCCTCTATAGTTATAGAGGGTAAGTACTATATTCTTTAGGATATACTAAGTATATGCTAGGACTATACCTAATTCTTATACTCCTCGCACTCTAAGCTAAGCCTAAATAAGCCTGCTTGGGACTTTTAGTCCCCCCCCTAAACTTTAAATACCCCCCCCCGAACTGTGCACCTGTTCTGCACGTGCCTTAATGTGCGCCTATCGGGCAGTGGTGCTAGACAGAACCAGGAGGCCGTTTGTTGGGTACTGGCGGGGCAATGGCGGTGCGTGGCGACCGGGCTGGTGCACTTAGCCCCTGCTTCCACTGCATTCGAAGAGGTCCACACAGAACTAGCGACCTCTTGTGCACTCCCTGTGCATTTGACCTCAAATCCATCTCTCCAAGGTGGCCCCAGTGAACACACTAGATGCTGCTTAAAAGAGCAGTAGGACGATGTGGCAGACATTCTCGTGATGTCCGGTGTCAGTAGGATTGGCGGGTGTGGCGCGGTGCGTCGTGCGCGGGGTGCTGTGAAAAGTGTTCTTCGGCAAATCAACAACCGCTGCACCACCCATGCCATTTTCAAAGCTAACAAGCTACATGGGGGATACTGGCGTAAGAAAACTATCTGAGTCGACCTTGACTGACGTTGATGAAAAGACAGGACACCCTCTGGCACATCTGGATCTGGGCTTGGAAGGCGGACGACTCAAGGATCATGAAGCATCGACGCGTTTCCCGGCAAGGGCTCTGAACAAGCCTACGTGCTTTGTCAAGTGTAATGGAAGCTGTTAATGGTGACGGATACGGTGTCAGCAGACTTGTTAAGCTTTGAGCACAGGAAAAAGCGACAGGATCGATCTCGAGGACACAGCGCACCACGATCATTAACGAAGCTTTTGCTTTGTGGCGCAGTTGGTTGCCCTGACCTGCTCGTGACACAGCTGTCACATGGCATGCTACAAGGCTTCTAGGACTGTGGTAGTGGAGTATCTGCCTTCGTTTACTGGATAACTGTTGCAACAATAAGCCGTCAATCGCGCTGTGGCTGAATGTGGCGGTGGCTTCAACAGTCTATTGCTGATGTAAGCATTGAGTCGGCCACACTAATTGACGGCCGCCGCCTCACCGCCACTGGTAAGTTACCCTTCCGGAGTTACTCACTCTCCGTCTGCATCGCCCATTGGCTTGTCTGAGGGGAAGGGGAAGTACATGAGGTGCACTGGATGGCCATTTTAGGGGCCCAAATCGTAAGCGCCAATACTCTGCCAGTGTCCCGCTTCACTTGCTCTTGACTGGTACCGGAACCCTGTTGGTGCCCCTTCCGCTGCTTAGAGCAGGGTTTATTTTTAGTACGGGAGTGTTAAGTATTCTGCTGAGGCTGGAAGATCTCCCTTTGCCGACAAAAGTATGCATAGCAGCAGTAGATAAGGGCAACTGAGTGCCCTACGGACAACGGTAACCGAAACGCCCGATCAGAACCGCAGAAGCGCCCGCGCTAGCCTTGCCACCTTAAGGCTTCCGTTGGTGGCCCGTTCCAAAAGCAGGTTGCTCTACTACGATCGACGGTCACTGAAGCGTCCGCCTATAAGATTCCGGAAAAGTCTACTCGGGAGCGCGCTCCACCCCGGCCGGCCGTGCCGTATTAAGGGCCCTGGAGCCATCTCGCACGCAGGTCACAATCCCCAAAGCACGTCCCCCAACCCGCGTTATGGTCTGGGGCACCACATCATGTTCTGATATGCTGTGGGATATCAGACCATGTATTGTCACATCAAATGGACATACGGAACACGAGTACATTATGTGCTCAGGTTTTGGACCAGTACACTCCCTGCGCATTTGACCTCAAAAGCACCTCTTAAAGGTCATCCCGCAAAGGCACCCCTCAAAGGCATCCCCCTGTGCACCCCCCTGTGCATCCCTCGAAGGCATCCCGCAAAGACATCCCGCAAATGTCATCCCGCAAATGTCATCCCGCAGACGCCATTCCCCAAAGGTTATCCCCTTTGCATTCCCCTGTGCATCTTTCAAAAGCATCCCTCAAAAGCATCCCTCAAAGGCATCCCCTAAACAGTATCCCCCAAATCAAGTTTAGGCTGGCAATATGTGACCTATCTATTTAGAGTCCTCGCCTGCGCACGCCTTCAGCGTTTCGGCCCGGGGTGTAGAGTAATTCCTGCCTGTGATGTCCTTCGGACTGTTGGATCCCATGGAGCCCAGATGCATTTTGGTTGTACGGCTTCCGCGACGGATGAACTCGGCTGGCGTTTTTCTCAAAGGCACAGGATAGACTCTTTCCTTCAAGGGATTAGTGGTAGAATAATAAAAAAGATGTCGCTTTTGGCCGCAGCATGTCCGACTTTTCCCCACCCCACTTACGTAGTAGCATGCTTCCCATCACGTGCCGCCTTCTATCATCCTGATCGAGTTATCGTAATTTCAGCACATACCGCTCTGACCTTGCTACCTTCGTCTCTGCTATCACACATCCTCTCGCGTCCTGTCATGTCGGAAATTCCCTCCTCTATGTACTCGGTGCCCACGAACCCTGGAGTTTCGGTACTCGGGTTCTTACCGGGCTGGGGTCGATTGCAGAGCAACGGATGCTGCTCGCAGAATTCGGAAGAAGCACTCCAACCTGTCCGTTCCAGTCTCTCTGAATTCATCTGCTCAATCTGCACCGTCTCCAGCTTCCCCGCCGATTTCCCAACCGATTTTCGAGTTCAGCAAAGGACATATACATACCGTCTCCTGATCCACCCCGGTCTCGGCGTATCAAATGAGACGACGGGTATCCGCATTCATCGTTACCGGAAATCAATTTATCGCTCGCCGTCGCAATTACTCCATTGCCCCTTGCACAGTTGAAGGCCCCTCTCTTACAACTTTGCAGAGCGCGAAGCGCCACGCCCAATTCTCCTTGATTGACTCATTCCCACTCGGTTATGGAGCCGCTCTTGCATCAGCAGCTATGCCCGGATAGCGAGGTCCGGATAGAGTCCGAGTGATTCTACGTTGCAGAGAAGTAATTAATGCGACCGGAGTTTGTTGAACCAGCCAGCTACGACGAGACCTCGCTCGCCTACGGTTATTGTTGCTTCGATGTATTGTTTCTTCCGACGAAGGCAAGATCTGACAGCGGCAACGGCGTCGTAGGCCAATTTATGGCTGAAAGTATGTCCACTGATCGTCCACCAAGACATGCTTGAGGGATCGGATTCAAGCCGACCTTTGAGAGAGATAAGATGTCGGTTGTGGCTGTGCTCCCTGTCTCAGTGTCCATCTTCCAGTTGCAGCTCAACGAAATGGCCACTTGGTCCCCCGGGCATCACCGCCGCCGCCGGTGATCCAGATGATCGGACAAGACTATGTGTCAGACCTGGACATTGCATATCCGAGTCATGCGTTCAACCCGTGCTCGGTTCCCGATTGCTTTAAGGGATATAGGCATTATGGCCATAAAACCTTGTTCTTGTTTCTTGCTTAGGTGAGAAAGGTGTCAAAAACACATCACTCGCTTAGGAGGCAATAGACCAATATGCCCATCATTGCTGGCTACCAAGCTATCGCCTGTGTGTCTTCAACAGCAAGCGGCCGCCTTGACGGGAAAGAGCTTGGGCATCGGTGTGAGGATGAGGGATAGGACGAACAAGTGTTCTCCCAGTGACAAGGCGCGTAGACGGCTCGCGTTGCGCCCCAAGTGAAGTTCATCGATGCTCCACTACCGTATGCGGTCCAAGGCTCATGATCAGCCTTGGAAGATCTCTTTCTGCCGACGCCTCGCTGCCCCCGAGAGCTGTCTTCCGGTGGGAGCCGGCTGCTCGGAACAGAAAGCTTCCAGTGATTGAGTGCCACGCCGCCAAGGCGAGAGTGTGGCTGCAGATTTTGCGATCGGCTTAGTACCAGCTTGGGGCAAAGGTCACAAGAATGCGTCCTTCCTGGGGATTGTTCTGGGCCATCAACCACCAACTGGTCTCTGAGCTGGCCGGATGCGGACGGGCGCCTGCCCGGCCTGGAATTCCATATCCTTCAGCCCCGTCACGGCTGGGCACTAGTATAACCATATGCGAACCCCTCTTCTCGCGTAATGGCGTCTCCTCTGGTCTCTGCATGGGCAAAGGCTCTCCTCTACGTCTTTCGTGACGATCATCCTCATTCGACCCGCCTGGCAACGTCATCAAAGGTCAACTGCGAGGGTCCAAACTCCATCCCATCGGAATACACACGCAACGCATTACGGCGAACGGCCAACCGGCATCTTCAATGATCGTGATCTTGAGTGCTAGGGTAGAATGCTGGGTGTGGTATGGCCTGGCCATCACGTCGGTCATCATAAGATAGTCAGTTCGATGCGCTATTCTCTGTTGGATCCTCTGTTGTAACCGAGAACCGCAGCCCATCGCAGTACATTATTCGAAAACGCAATTTTTTTAAAGACTTACCTCTGGACGACATCCTGATGCTCATAATAACGGTGAATTGGAAACCTCTTGATGCTTGACCAGCTTTCGAATTGGTCCGCCGAGCAGGCTCGAGTGGGAAAATTTTCGCTGACAGATTTGCCTTTGGCCTGGCTAGCTCATATACACGGTCGGAATAGTTGCGCTTTCCTCATACTTTGACATCTTCGAGGACATGGACTTCGACAACATCACACCCGGAGAGGAGGCGAGCGTTGGGATCTACAACATCCTGGCTGAGACGGCCATCCAGACGACACTGTGGGGCAACAAATGTTGTCTCTTGATCTTGTACAATCGTCTAGTGTACGTGGGCTTTTTCCCGTCAAGGCGCATCCTTCTCCTCGCCGATACTGAATGTCATGAGCGAAACTGACGACATCGGCAGTCTTTTTGGTCACCAGGTCACGTTGTGGATTATCGTTGCGGCCTACACCTGGCTAACGTACGTTGCCGTCATGGTCGCTCTTTACGGGGGCTGGTGTCGCCCTTTTTCTGATTACCTCGTGCTCGAGCCGGGCAACAGTAAGCTTCTCCTCCAGCGGCAGTCAAACCGGAGTGCCTCGTTTTCAACACCAGAAGAAGTGCGGAACTGGAAAAGAAGAAACCGCTAACGTCAACACAGTGGAATGTCTGACTTGGAAGCACTACAACATCTTGCAGATGACGATGAACCTCTCGACGGACCTCATCCTCCTTCTGATCCCCGTCACGCTGATTGGCAGGTTGAACATGAAGATCGGAAGGTTCGTGTTCCTTGTTGAGATATCTAGAAGATGGCTTCGAGGCTTGGGCCGACGGCTGACTCTCTGTTCCAGAAAACTGCTGCTCATATGTCTTTTCAGCATGGGTGTATTCGTTGTAAGTGAACTCTTTCCCGGATGTCCACCTAGCTCGCACGGCGTGCATTACGCCTTACTTATGTTCTCGACTAGATGCTTTCCGCAATCCTCATGAAGGTCGCCGTCTTCACCAACTCGGTAGATCCAGTGTGGTTCTCATGGTCCGTCCGTGAAATCAGCACCGCGATGTTGGTCCCTAACCTTGTCCTCGGTTTGCCCTTTCTCAAGACGGGATGGCGGCTCGTCTTCCCGAGCAGCGGGAGCACGAAAGGGGTTTCGTCCGCGACCTCGGGCTCAGGCGCGATGATTAGGTCTACGAAGAGCTCCGGCGGGATTATGTCGACGGAGCCTGGGTCGTCAAGCAGATGGGAATCACCCTCGAGAGCTAAAGGGGAAAGTGCCGGTGAGGGCGCCGGCCGGTCTCACGGTGTTGAACTTTAGGGGAAAGAGAACGCGGGAGGTACGAGCCCGTGGTTGTCCGTCGGGCAGGAGAGCGTTTAAAAAGCTTCGGTTGAAGTGTGTAATGGCGGTGTAGTAATGGTGTCTGATAAGGTTTGATGATATTCCCTCGAGCCATGCTCTTACTCAAAGAATCGTGGCCTCTATGACGAGTTCCCCGTGGGAGATTGATGCAACGGAGATAAATAAGGTCTTTTCCATGCTGTCCAGTCGCGGAGAACAGTCCACACCAAAGACGAGGTGGACTGGAGGCAGCCACAGTCTAAGGAGACTGGGCTTGGATTGTGTCCAGGCCAGTGGTTTCAGTTAGCTGTCACATAGTCGTTTCTGTACGTGTATGTTATATTTATAAATCCCTTGTTCTCAACCCATGCGAACAGCAGTTATGTCGTTCAGAGACTCAGAGAGAAAATGGTTTGTGAACCGGGAAGTAGGGCGGCAGAACCTAATGGTAGTTGTTGAATAGAGACCAAATTAAAATTGAAATTTGTATGTAACTCCAGCATTGCGTATAAATCATCTGAACTACAATACCAGCGTCCAATCTCATCAGCTTCAACGTAGAAATTGGGAAAATAAGTAGATTCGGCACGTCAGGCAAACCTTCTTGGGCCGTCTCATATTACTCTGGCCCCCTGGCTCCACAAGATCCGTCTTGAAGCTTCTGTGGACAATGGGTGTCGAGGAACAAGCAACCCATATATGGTGCATAAAGCAGGCCAAGTGACGGGCTGCCCTCGTCGAGCTTGATTTGAAAGTGCACCATATCTATAAAAAAAGCCCTTGAGAGTCATCGGAGGACGGAGATGACGGATGTTGAGTTTACAGCACTAGAGCTGATTGTTTCTAACGCTGAAGCCCAAACGGACGCTGAGAATGAGTGTTCTGGACAGCTGGTAGATTTGTGGTGAACAGGCACCTGCCGTGGAGCTGGAGGTCAACGAAGCTTTGTCAGAACACGAATCAACATGCGGCCTGTGACACAACCCCACAATTGAAGGCGGATACACACACACAGACACACACACACAATTATTATGCCCGGCGGCAGAGCTGATTACGTATACGTTTCTGACTTTGTGTCCTGGGCTTCAAGGTACTGCAACGGTGATATGAGAAAGCGCTGACGCATCAGGCGCGTCAGAGTCGCTTGAGGGCATCGCGACAGTTGCCCATCTGTAGAAATGTTAGTTTTGGTGGTGAACGGGGCTGGGAAAATATAGGGGTTGAAGACGTACCGTCATGTATTCCCGTGGTGAGGGGTCAAAAGTGGGTAAAAACTGGACATCATGTACCTGTTGCAATTGGCACTCGATGGGATAGAGACTGACAGAGATATTGAAACTGTTCGCCCATGCGAAGAGGCTATCTACAAAGCAATGCGTACAAGTAGAAAGTAGCCAGGCAGCGGCCAAATGCCCAGACTACCCAAAATACAATCTACCATCCCAATGCCGCTCCACAGTTTACAAGCCGTGTTTCACTCCTCCACGACCTGTCCGTGTTGATCTGTGTATTTCACCGGCGCATCTGGCTTGACCAACTGCCTTGAACAGTAGTTGGTCAAATCCTTGCCCCACGATATCTTCCGTATCCAACTCCATTACCAGTCGCTCAGCTTACTTGCCCGTTGCGAAACGCCGCATAATGAGCGGTCCGCCTCGCTGCATGCCGCAGTTAGAGCATCGACGAGCACCGAACCCTTTTACACCTTCAGTTTTCCAACGGGCTCGCCCTTATCCATAAAATGGAACTTTTTGGCCGTCATTACAAGCCGGGCAGGCACTGTAGCCCAAGCCGGCTCTAAGTTACAGATATGGGGTCGGAGTGCGATACTCTCGTTACTTTCTGCCAGCAGATGGATGGGCAGTTGGCGTGTTGACGGTACATTTCACGGATGCATAATGTCTCTGTCTGTTCAGACCGGCGGAACATTCGTGGTTGGGTATAACCATGATGTGAGCTGATGATCTCTGCTTTGTGTCAGGCGGGACGAGTGGATATTGTAGACGAGTAACAAATGATCGGCGACAACGCTAAGAGACCGACAGTTGACAGTTGGCCGGGGCGTCGGATGCGAGAAGACGCTCTAAGGATTTCATTTCAGTCCATTGAGAATTCAACAAACGAAGTAACAAAAGGCGTCAAGATACTTACGTTGACATGAAGTCTCGTTGAAACAACCCATCAATAATGAAGCGAGAACAACTGGGATGCAATGAAAAGGTGGAATAGTTTTCAATGCACAGCATAAGAAATAACGTCATCGGACCTGATCGTGGTTGGGGCTGTCAGGACGAAGCTACATGGTTTCTGAAGGTTGCAGGGGCTGGTGGAATAGCTGACCTGTTCGCTGTTCTAGACCATTGTGGATAATTATGGTTGAGCATCGGCTCTCATCCGATACGCTCAAGTGCAACCCCATGCAATCTTTGAATTACATAGCTCGCTCGGTGCTAGAACAGAATATTCGGCTGTACAGACGATGGCCGCTACCAGGCCTTCTGACTCAGTTACCCGAGAAAGAAATCCGTGGTGTACCTTCTTAGAGGCGTCCAAGCATTTACTGCGCGTCGCCCGTAATAAAAATTTCCTGGTTATTCAAGAGGAGCAGTAGTTCGTAGAACCCTTTTCAGAATAGGAGTTAAGGGAGCCCCTCTCTAGCCATCTTATCAAAGCAGCAGTTGTTAGGGGCATATACCTAATATGGCTAAGCGTCGAGCTGCACATGCATACTCCTGAGTCAGGCATTGTGATGAGCACCGTGTGATGAATTATTTGAGTCATAGGCGTCCACATGATGACGTCGACGAGGTGACATAGTGATAAAAGAGGTGTAACAGTTGACGGAGAGGGGCAGACGCTGAGACTGAGGATTGGACGCTTTGCGGCGGGTGTTCGTCCGAAAAAAAACGGATAGAGAAGTATGCAAACAGGACATACTGATGGAGAGCAGCACACGTGGCTTATGTACTCCCAAGCGGGTAACAAAAAAAGCCGCACTCACAAAAGAGCAAGTACCCTAATTTACACCATTTTACTATACAAACTTAAGTACCTACTCCAATTTCACCACCCAGTCATTTGGCCCTCGTTTTTTTACTTAGATAGCGTTAAGCTATATAAACTAATTACTATATAATTATAGGATAGTTACCTTATTATTATAGTTTTTATTAATTATTATAATAGTATTTAATTAGTAAGTAGGTATATTAGTTATTATAGACAAATATATTAGACTATTAATTATTAAATAGTAGGGATTATAATAGTTACTTAATTAATTCTATTATATATTATATAACTATTATAAAATTCCTATAGAAATAGGGAAAAACCCCTATTTCTTAGTTAGGAAATCCCTAGCTAATTCTAGCGATATTATTAGTAAAGTTACCTTTAAAAGTAGGACTAATTTACTGCCTATTCCCTAATAATTCACTGTAGGGCAACCGTGCATTCGCTAGCTAATTTACATGCAATTCTGCCACATTTAATAACACCTCTAATAGCTATAGCCAAAAAGAAACGCCTCTAAATAAAATAGTATAAGTCTATATAGTCTATAAAGAAAATAAAGGATATAAGAATATATAGTATATAACTATAAGAAGTATAATACTTTTAGAAGTTTTACTTTTATTACGTTTTTAGAGTTTTTAAAGCTAATCTAGATAGCTTTAAGCACTAGTAACTTTTACTATAATAAAAAGTTACTAGTGTTAGTATATAGTTAGTATACTTTAAGGAGGTAAGTTACGTAATATTTATATAACACACTGCCTCTTATAGTAATATCTACCTTCCCCTGCTACATGGGGTATGCTACTACTAGGTGCTAAAAGTCTGGATTTAACTAATAACAACTACACCACTATAATCCTGTTCATATGCATATGTGAATTGGGATATCCCTCTACGAAGTGATTAACCAACAGTCGCTGTTACTATTTTCTTGACGGTCTCGTTCAAAATCATGGCTGTCTTCTTGCTGTCAACAGGGACCATGTTTTGGCGAGCCTCGCATATGTCGATCAGAGCCTGAGCAAAAGGGAGTATCGGCTTCACTTGCTCATCGCGTTCGCGGTCCAGAAGCAAGACGCGGATGTTCTTTTTCAGATAATTGCGAAGGAGTAAGAAGTCAACCTTGTCTTCTTGGTTCTACGTATCGAACGGCGCCTTGAACAGGCTTTCGAGCTCTTCATTGTAGAATCTCTTAAGGCGCCGAGATCTGGTAGGAGAGAACTTGATGTTGTAGAACTTTCTGAGATCCTTTTCATCGGCAGTGATCCTTATAATGCGCTCCGGCATAGACTCGACGTCGACAGGAGTAGCAGCATGTTGCTCGCTGGCACCGAGATTAACCCATCCGTCATCAGGATCGGTGGTGCGGTGAGACCTATCTGCGAGACGCTTGGAAGTCATGGTCAAACTAGTCTTATTTTCCAGAGATGGGGTTTAATCAAACAATGATGAATACCAAGACGCAGCATTCGGCAGCGACGAGCGGAGAATGCGGGGGAAATGATGTTGTTGACGCAAAGACCCGGGGCACGACTTTCGAGGTGGCTTATCTCGGCCCGGTATGCCGGGATACCTGGAGACATAGATCCCTTAGTGGGGCTGATAACGGTTAGCTTTCCAGAGACAGCTTACCTGCACCCAAGTGACATTTGGTCCGCTTGTTCTTGATGGTAGGCAACAAACCAAACATCGGTTATATCCAATTCGCTATCGCAGCGCAAACTCAGCTCAGTAGTATTGTACGCTTGAATGGTTCTTAACAGAAAGGTATTTGCCCCCTGACATCGTGATTGGACAATTGAATGTTCGTCTTCCTGGCTAAAAGATGGTATCCTGGTCGGTAGCTGGCGTATCTTGGCCTGTGCAACCTCTTTGACCACAGTCACCTTCTGGGAGTCCGTACCGTCTGATGAAGAAGCGAGACCTTCTTGCACAAAGCCTCTGATCCGCCCACTCACAGAGATATATGTGCTTTGCCCTCTTGACCAAAACTTGACGATATCTGAGGAGTCCGCCTCCAGATGAATGTCATATTATCCATAAACCCCCGTCGTACCAGTGCTTGTGGCCGTTCCTAGTTGACACGAGGACCTTTGGGCCGGTCTTGCTCAATTTGCCACCGTGCGTCTAGAGAAGAACCATTGATTCTTTGTTTAATCAGTGCGCATACCACTATGAGCCAACTGGAGTTTGCACGTCCCTCTACGGCTGCAGTTCTTTCGCGCTCACAGAAAAACACAACACGCTTCTCGTTACGAAAGCACCTAGCAAATTCATCCGACATCTAAGCCAGGCAATGCGAGGGTACAGACTCATTGCCCAGTCAACAATGATGGAGTCGATCAGGGCCTGGCTGGGCTGACCCTCAGCCACCATGATGATATTGGGATAAGTATTACCTTGTTCCTACAGGACTGCGGCCTTCAAGTAATTTCCAGCCGTAGGATGTAAGACCCGATCCTTGTCTATGCGAGTAGCAAAGATTACTTCACCAAGCCTGTCGTACGCATGGCTTGCAGGTGTGACTTAGAGCTCCTTGATATCGGCTGCATCCTCCCCTGCTTGAGCCCCTATATTAATATTGAAATGGACCCCACGAACTGTCTCCCGCATCTCAAAGTGTTAATGAAGTCTCAGGGTAGGTCGCTGGGTTTCCGGCTAATTGATCAGTAGGGGACTAAGGGCGTGATCAGTAATTTGAACAAGGGACGAATCTCGGTTGGATAAAGTCCAAATGTCAGTTAGCACCAGCCACAGGGGTCATCCAGACCATTGTTGTAGTTTAATAGCAATCGGATAACATTCTCCAAGTTGGATATCCAGCATGGCTGGTAATGGGTAATAGTCGTGCGAATCCGACTCAAACTAACCCTGACCCCTGTATTTCTCATACAAGTTACCGATTACGCGCTATTAGAATCTGCCCCCCAACAGGCGGGGGAACGGACAAAACCCGTATGCCGTGTGGGGATTGCCCAAAGTGGCTGACGGGATTTGCCCGCTTCGCTCCTCAAAGCAACATGTTTAACATGCAACTCGATCCGTTGGATGCAATCTCAGACGCACACAGAACTGCGACTTTCTCATTCGCAACACAAGCTTTTCGAGATGACGGTGGTACATATTGGTGAGATCCGACCCAATTCGTCTTGACCTTGCCCGCCCCTGCCTCCTCCCCTTACAAAAATCATGCGAGCAGGATATAACTGATCCCAAAGCGCAGTTCTCTTCAAGTTCCGTCCAGACGTCTCGGAGGAGCACAGGGAGACGTTCGTCCGCGAGCTCAAGACGCTCAAGTCCCTGCCGTGCGTCAAAGACCACCGCCTGATCGTCGGCGGGCCCTCCGTCACGGATCCCGCGGAGAGGAGCAAGGGATACCACTTCGCCTTGCTGAGCTTCCACCAAGACCGCGGGGCGCTTGAGGAATACCAGGCGAGTGCGGAGCATCACAGGTAAAAGCTAATACAGTCGCGCGCTGGCCCCCTCCCCCATGTGGTAAGCCACGAGAAGACGAAGCTGACCTGGATGCTCACGAAAGGGTTACCAGTACCTACCTCTGGCCGTTCAAGGAGGATGTCACGAGGTTTGACTTTGAGGTCGCAGAGGAGGACGAGTACATGTGTCAGTTTGTAGCTAAGGGCCTGGCAGACGGGTCTGCCTAGACGCATAACAACTTCTGCGACTTTTTCAAAGGGCCAAGTCTATAATAGTGACGAAAGTCCATAAGTAGACATATGCAAGCAATAGACTTCTATGCATAGACCCATAATTAATTATTTTGTATCACCGTTAGGAGCTTGGTCGTTATCTGATGGGGCTGGAATCGAAAAACAAACTAAATTCTGCACTAATCATCGATCGATATTTTGAAGACAGAATCAATTACAGTTTGGCGGTGCTTAGCTCATAGATACATATTGTGGGTCAATTCTGATGAGTGTCGTGTAGCCACATCGATCGCCGCCTTGGTCATGGTCGCCTACTCAACGGTGCGGATGCTACCGAAGATGACCGCGCCCGGCTTGGCGAAGGCGACGGCGCAGGCGGCGCCAATGCCCTAGCCGTCCGGACCCGATTCGCCAAGGCCGATGACGAGGGCGACTTTTCCATCGAGGTTGAACATGGCGATTAGAAACGGATAAGGGAGAGAGACTGGCGGAAAAGTTGTATTAACAAAGCGCTGTCTGACGGATTGGTCATAGCGATGGAGTGCAGCACAACATTTTTGAGCATCTCGAGCATATTCTCAAGTTAAAACAGATTGTGATATATACCTGAAAAAAAAAAACCCCCGCGATGTCATGCCTAGGGTGATTTGGTGGCATTCTGTCTCCCGTAGTCATCAGGCGGCTTTCGCTCCGTCAGCACGGATAATAAGCTGCCGGGCCCCTCGTTCGCTGTATCGCTGACGGGGACGATCACGACATGCGGAGTCCCCGCACCAACATGAAGCACGGCGGATAAGTCCTGCCGACCAACCACAAGGTGAGGAATTGTAATCTTCGACGGGCCAAGCAACATCATCTCGTCGATCAACATCTGCCATCATGAGCGAACAGACGTCGTCGACGACGCCGGCAAAAGACGGCAAGGCCCCTGTAATGGGAGACTATGACCTCTCGACACCGATCGACTCGAGCGTCGGCCTGCGGCAAGGGCTAACCTCGTACGGGGATAACCACTTCAGCCTCTTCCTCCGCAAGGTCTTCATCAAAGCCCTCGGCTACAGCGAGGACGCACTATCGCGGCCCATCATCGGCATTGTCAACACCTACTCGAGCTTCAACCCCTGCCACGCCAACGTCCCGCAGCTCATTGAGGCTGTAAAGCGCGGCGTGCAGCTGAGTGGCGGCTTGGCCATCGACTTTCCGACTATCAGCGTCCACGAAAGCTTCGCGTCGCCCACGAGCATGTACCTTCGGAACCTCATGAGTATGGACACAGAGGAGATGATCAAGGCGCAGCCGTGTGACGCGGTGGTGCTTATCGGGGGTGAGTGAGTCCAATGGAACGAAGACCGCCAGCGGTAAAAAGCACACGGGAACTGACGGCGAGCAGGATGCGACAAGACGACGCCAGCTCAGCTCATGGGTGGGATATCTGCCAACAAGCCCATTTTGCATCTTGTTACCGGCCCTATGATGCCTGGCAGTCACAAGGGTGTGCGGATTGGCGCTTGTACCGACTGCCGCAACAATTGGGCCGCATACAGAGCCGGTCAAATCGATATCGAGGAAATCTCCGCCATCAATGACGAGCTTGCACCAACGGTGATGACCACCCGTTTGATCTCTGGGCGTATATCATCCGCTGACTGTAACAGGGCGGCACCTGTGGTGTCATGGGCACCGCGTCGACTATGGCGTGCATCCTCGTTGGCTTGGGAATGATGCCGTTCAAGGGCGCCACCGCCCCGGCCGTCTCCTCCGCTAGGTTACGCATCGCCGAGCAGACCGGAGGCCTTGCCGTTGCCCTTCACAAGCGAAACCTTAAGCCGCAGGATCTCCTCACCCGCGAGTCGTTCCTCAACGCCATCATGGTCCTGCAGGCCATCGGCGGCTCCACCAACGCTGTCGTCCACATGATGGCCATCATCGGGCGCCACCCTGCCGTCGCCGGGACCATCACGCTTGATACCTTCGACGAGATCGGCAGGAAGACGCCGCTCCTCGTCGATCTGAAGCCCAGCGGGCAGAACTACATGGACGACTTCCACAACTCCGGTGGTATGCTGGCGCTTCTGCACGAGCTGAAGCACCTGTTATATCTGGATGCCATGACGGTGACCGGAAAGACGCTGGGCGAGGAGCTCGAGAGCACGCCATTCACCCCTATTCCCCGAGATAGCTTGGTCAACTGCCTACAGCCATTCAACGATCCTCTGTTCCCTGCCTCAGCTTTGGCTGTGCTCCGGGGCAACATCGCCCCGGGCGGTGCCGTGATGAAGCAGAGTGCGTCCAAGGACCGTCGACTTCTCAAGCACTCAGGTCCCGCGGTCGTTTTTGCAGGCTCGGCAGATATGGCCCTCCGTATCGATGACCCGGACCTGGAGGTCACCCCCGACAGTGTTTTGGTTCTTCAAAATATCGGACCAGTTGGCAATCCCGGTATGCCTGAGGCCGGCCTCATACCTATTCCCCGGAAACTTGCCTCGCAAGGAGTGCAAGATATGCTTCGTCTATCCGATGGTAGGATGAGCGGCACAGCAGGCGGTACCATAGTGCTGCATGTTTCCCCTGAGGCGGCCGATCCCGAGTCGGTCCTGGGCATTGTCAGAAGTGGTGACATCATCACCTGCGACGTCGAGCAACGAATCATCAAGGTCGAGATATCTGATGAAGAAATCCAAAGAAGACTGGCCGAAAGGAAAGAAGTGTTGTTCAAGGAGGAGGAAAGTGGAGGTAGTAACGCGCCTTGGGTGGCAAAGAAGAGGATTCGTGGCTATCGGGGACTGTACTTGCGCTCAGTCTTGCAGGCCGAAGGAGGTGCCGACTTTGATTTCCTCACAGCAGCTGGCCCTTCTTAGGATCTATAACGACTGCGAATTTTACCCGTTAAACTGTAATAACACATGCATTGAATGTACATGATTCATATATCATCAGCTGAAGCTGGGGTACGTCGGTATGAAGTCGTCGAAAAGACCTCGCATTATGCTGTCCAAGTTCGCAGTATCTCCCAGCTGTAGTTGCTCACCAAACGAGGTGCGAAATGATTCGAAGGGGTCTTGCGGTATTAATGTCGAGGAAACTCCCGCCGTCATAGAATCCATGGTCATCGGATTAGACAGTCCCTCAGACAAGCAGCGGCGAGCTACCGGTATGCCGTCCTGACCGGCGATATCATCATACGGGCTTCTTGTCTGGACATGCGTGGGTTCGATACGCGACGACCGACGCGGAGTATGGCATCCGATGGCAGATGAATTGTTCGTAACATCTTTGATCCACCGGACAGTCGCCCGAACCATGTCATCGAGAATGTCCCTGCACCGTTTCGCTCCGGACCAATGCTCTCCCGTAGCAGCCAAGACTCCTAGACCAGCGCTAAAATCAGACATCAAAACATCCAACGGAGTCTGCCTGGCGACTTCGGGTACCATTTTGATGCAGTACAACATAGTGATGATGCCCAAGACTGTAGAATGGCATGTGCTCCAAGTGTGGATGAGTAGATTCTGCTTATATAGCTGATCGAAAAGAATCACAGTCTCGCGTGCGGCAATGTAGCATTTTTGTAACGACTCCGGAGATGGGTTAGGTATAGCTGGGCTTGGTCGTAACACAAGCATGCGAAGGCCTTGGCATCTGACCTGACAAATGGCACGGATGTACTCACAACCGGGCACCTCAGGAATGCCTTCGTACCATTCATCTAGTTGCAGAATCATCTCGCGTTGCCATTCGTTGATGTCAATTACAGCAGGATATGCGTATCTGGGCGTTTTGCGGACGACGCTATTTGCAACGTACTTGAACTCCGAGTTAAGTTTTGCAAGTCGAAACAAATGAATCGAGAAGGCCATACGGCCCGGAGGTGCATTTTGAGGCTGCTGTTCGAAGTTTTGGAGAGAGGCATCATCGATGTCTTGCGGTAGCTGAGAAGAGTTTAGTAACTGCTGAGCTCACTGTCAATCCTCGGCACTCACTCTCAGGTCGCATGCTTCATCCCGTAAACCAATTGGCCGTCCCATCATGGTGGCAATCATTCTGTCAAGCGAAAACACAACCCAGAATATCCTGGTTCTCATCTCCTGTTCGAGAAGAGAGATGCCAGAGTCGGTATTGATGTCGCGCTGCAGTCCCAAGTCCAAGACAGCGGCGATGCACTGATAGTTGAGGTACCAAACGTTGAGACGCATGCTAGGGCTATGCATCGTGAATATCGTCAGTAAGAGAAGACACTGTAAGCCGGGGATCGAGCTGTCGACGCTGAGCCGGTCGAAATGTTGCATCGCCGAGAGGCAGTAGGACTCTCCCGGAAGACGGGCTCGTAATCTGCGAGACAAGACAGCAGAACCAAGAGCAAGGACCATGAAGACCTGGAAAATGCCTGTGGCCCCGCGATCTGTTTCAATGCCGCTATCGTAAACTTGATTAAGCAGGTTCATAAACGTCGGCTGGTGTAGGATGGGGAACTGGCAATTGATGGCATCAAAGTAGCTCTCTGCCAACTGTCTTGCATGTTCCTTACTTGGCAACGGCATTGGGCCATGTGACGCCTCAACTAGGGCTGTGGGTATTGTGAAGGTTGGTGCTTGGGGCCTGGTTGGCCAAGCCGTCTGGTCGTCCTGGCGGTTTGAAGTCAACATGAGGCGGGCCAAGAAGTATCCGCTTGAAGGTCCGATATACTTGGAATCCTGACTGCTGCCGAGTGAAACCATTCCAATCTCGTGAGAGAGAGTGCTGCTAGCCGTGGTATCGACCATTCGCGGTTCCGAACGTACAGGCTGTGTGGTTAGTTGCGATTCCGAAGATGCGAGCGATTGTCCTCTAACATCTCGAGCATTTTGTTGCGTCATATTGGCTTCGGGCTGCCCACTGCTGAGTTCGATCATGGAGTCCGGTACGAAGGTTTCGTCACCATCAACCTGCATGTCGAGGTCACCGGGCGGGCCTTGGCTGAGGTCCACGTCGGAGCATCTTTCACGGATGATGTCCTCAAGCCATCTGATGCGTTCCTTCAAGTTTGCAATTTGGCTTTTTCATAGTCAGAGGCATCCTCCAAAGTGGCAATCACAGCTCGACTCACGCTCTTGGCAGGTCTCGGAGACGAAGACTCTCACCGTCGGTACAGGAGACTCGAGCCTTCTTGCAGTTGTTGCAGGCTGGGAGTTGACCATCGCACTACCTCCAATCAGTTCCCGTTTCGCACTCGGTCATTCAACAGGCCCCACTTACGCGGATCTTCCTCCGCTGGCAGCGAGAGCAAGCCAACCTCAACCGCGGGTTCCTCCGAGCTTGTCGGGCATGCTGGGCTTGTTGGTGGGAGTTGCTCGCATCGGGCATGTTACCGAGGATCTAGGTGGCTTGACTGTTGTATACCTTGAGCCTGGAACAGAAGAGACGGGAAATGTCCGATGTGGGACAAAGAAATGGAGTTGGGAAATGGCGGCGGAAACCAGCACATGCGGGGTTTCTCCGCGTCGTCCCGGGGGGACTGTGCTTGTTGGGCCGGAGAAAATCCGCACTCGCGCATCTTTTCCAACCAGCCGTGCTCAACGACATCCATCACCAGTACTGAGTTTCAGTTTGGATAACCGTATACAAAACCCATTGGCCGTTTTTATCTTCCTTCACCCGCTCTCCACATGCACATTGTGTTCTCATCATCTTTTCATTGATATTTCAGTACCACACAGCTGCAGCCTCCCACAGTACGATTTACCGTCCTGTGAGAGAAGTTAGAACCACAAAGATGGCCGACGAATCACAAAAGATCCCAGTCGCCGCCTCCGAGGCCCGCCGATTCGTCGAGGAAATTCTCAAGGGCAACGGCGTGCCGGCCGAAAACGCTGCAATCGTCGCCCGCTGCCTCGTCGCCGCCGACCTCCGCGGCGTCGACACCCACGGGATGAACCGCATCCCCTCCTACATGGAACGCGTCCGCCAAGGCGTTCTCGATGCAGCCGCACAGCCCGAACTCAAGCAAGTCACCCCCGTCGTTGCGCATGTCGACGGAAAGAACGGCTTCGGCTTTGTGGCCGCGAGAATGGGTATGACGGCGGCGATCGAATCCGCCAAAACCTTTGGCATCGGTATGGCCAGCGTATCGCATTCGAACCACTTCGGCATGAGCGCGTGGGTCGTGCAGCAGGCCTTGGATGCGGACATGATGAGCTTGGTATTTACCAACTCAAGTCCTGCGTTGCCGGTCTGGGGCGGCAAAAGCAAGCTCCTGGGGGTTTCGCCAATTGCGTGCGGTGCGCCTGGGAAGGATAAGCCTTTCATCCTCGACATGGCGCCATCGGTCGCAGCCAGGGGTAAAATTTACAAGGCCAAGAGACGGGGTGAGAAGATTCCGCTCGACTGGGCTCTCGATGCCGAGGGCCGGCCGACGGACGACCCAACCGCAGCGTTGGGGGGTGTCATGCTCCCCATGGGAGGCCCCAAGGGCTCGGCACTGTCCATTATGATGGACGTCTTCTCGGGGGTCTTTTCGGGGTCAGCATTCGCTGGCCATGTGACGGGCCCGTACGATCCTTCAAAGCCGTCAGATGTGGGCCATTTTCTCGTCGCCATCAAGCCAGACCTATTCATGAGCCTGGATGACTTCAGGGAGAGAATCGATTATCTGTACCAGCGTGTTGTGGGTTCAGATAAGGCTGCGGATGTGGATAGAATATACTTTCCGGGCGAAATTGAGCAACTAACCCAGCAGGAGAGAGAGGTGAGCGGTATTCCTTTGGTGCAGGCAGAGATCGACGCCCTCAATGAAGAGGCAGAAAGAGTTGGTGCGCAGCGGCTGGCCCCTATGACGAGTAGTTGAATGGAGTAGTAACCGAAATGCATTTGATGATAAGAAGCAGGTATCTTATTTGGAGCTCTCAGAAAAGAAAGAAGAGTGACAAGATACACAACCAGATTTGGACAATACAATCGATGCTTCCTTCCAGCACTAATGTGAACCGGCCGGTCTGTGCACGCAGCAACTTCCTTCCTTCTTCCTACCTTCTCAGAAAGGGAGGCCAGAGTGAGAGTGACACGTCTTCTCTTTCCTTCCCGTTCTCTTGTCTTCCTTCCCTACCTATAACAGGTAGTTACCTTCTTTACTCCGAAGAAATAAGAGAAAACTGCAATAGACGCTCCTGACACTGACACGACTCTTTCGATATGACGCGGAAGTCAACTCATTCCCATGAGGTCTGCACTTTTCAATCTTGAGTCCTTGACCACTACCTACCTATTCAAGGCCGAAGTATGAGACTGACGTTGGCTCGCCCCTCAGCACTTCTACCAAACACTTCAACATCGTACACCCTCAGCCCAACCGTTCATGTTGCGCCCTCGATAATCCATTAATACTTGCGTCAGTCTTTTACGTGCTCTTTTCGTCAATAATACCGCCCCTTCAAGGCTCGCACGAGCCGTTCAGACCGACCCCGTGTTATTCAGCCAGCAGACTAAGGAAGATACCTCAAAAATAGCCCCAGTTGACATCATTCAGTGGTTTCGGAGCATTGTGCACGTTATATGCGATAAAATTTCACAGTTGTGTTGTCAGTACGTTCCCGACCTCCCTCAATTCGTTGAAGACATGTTTAAAGGTGCTGAGAAGAGCAACGTACGCTAGGCAGCCCACCGCGGACAACGAGTAGAAAGGAAACAGGGCAATGTAGCCAGCTACTTATATCCACCAACGCAAGCATTGTTTAATCATGCACCATGGCGCCCAACTCCTTCGCGAAATGTAGTCCAAATCAGATTGCTGTGAAAGCCAGCGCCGAATTCCTCAACGAAATATCCGAGCCATCCCAACATAGAGATTGCTTACGTGCCAGCGGCTTGACATTTGGTTGTACCCAGGCACAGTATCCCATTATGCACGTTCGTCACTTGGTGAAGGTCCCAAAAATGTGCGGAACTATTTGGTACCACGGTTCGTCGGGCGGATGCGAGACATCGATTTTAGCCCAGGGCCCTGCAGATCTCAGCGTCTTTCCGGTGTCGCGACACAGCTGGCAACCATTCAGGGCACGAGGCCAAACGAGGTTGACGAAACCTGCACCGGGCATTAGTAAGGGAGATGGCTTCTTCAACGGCTTTGGTTGGGGTTCGCCTACGTTGGTAAAGCTGAATGGGCCGGCTATGCGTCGCCTTGACGTGCTCAAACAGGTACCACCTTCCGCCCTTCTTCAGGTACGAATACAGCTCTGGAATGTTCTTCTCGGGCTCGGGGATGCTACACAGACAGAGGATGGAGACGATGCAGTCGACGCTGCCCTTTTCAATCTTGCCATTCCACGCTGTCGGATCGGAGAGAGATTCAATGCCCGTGGGAACGATCTCATAGGTACCATCCAGCCCGGCCTCTAGCACCCGCTCTCTGAGCACGGGGTGAACGCCGGAATTGGGCTCCACACCGTACACCTTTGACACGCCCTCAACGACCCTGCGCCTCACGGCGCCCTGGGATGCTTCAGACTTCTTGCCGCCTTTGGAAAAGAGGTTCACCCATAACCCCGACCCGGGGCCGATCTCCAGCACGACGCCACCGACAGGCGAGTGGACAGGGTCCTCGACGGCACTGCCACCCGTGACGCGGCCCTCGAGGAGAGCGACAATGCGGTCCGAGTTGCCGACGCGAATTCGGGGGCCCCACCAGGCCCAGAAGGCAGAGAACCAGACGTCCTGGAGGCGGGAAGGGGACAGAAGGGTGGCGAAGTCGGCGGAGCGGATGAGGCCGAAGATGGTAGGGGGCAGGTAGTAGAAGGACTTGGACATAAAAATCCAAGGACCGACGAGGCCCCAAAAGACTTCACATATTTGAGAGAGGGTGGGCATGGTGGGGTGAGGTCGGGTTCTGCAAGAGGGGCGATCAGCGAGAGTCAATGAGCGAGAATTGGGATGAGAGGTACGGCTGAGTAAGACCGGTGAGCTGGACGAGGAACGTATTCGACAAAGGTTCTGCCAGGAAAATGGCATGCAAAGTATGAGATGTGACACTGGGGCTTGTTCGGCTTATAAGTAGGAAGACCCCGAGCTTCCAAGGTGGTGGGAAGGAGAAGAAGCATTAGTCAGTCGGATATGTATCAATGGGTATAATGCAGTTATCGTACATAGAGGCCCCGCCAGGTCCACTTCTCTATCCCGATCTGGAGCCCATATCCCTCCATATCTCTACTAGTAAGTCCGTCCAACTTCTTCGCTACCGACCACGCATCTTCTTTATCTACGTCCTCATGTTTTCCTCCATCCCGCATTCGTTGCTGCCCGTCAAACTATTTTATTGCCCGTAATTGGATGATGGGCTCGCATAGGCATGCCTTCGTCCCTGCATCGGATGCACCACGCCAACGAACTCCCCTCACCCCTGTACCTGCTGCCTAGGAAGCCGTTCATGACGATTGGCCAGCCTGATGCCATCGCGTATCCCACGCTGTCAGCGTCTGTTGCGCCTGACGGCGGCTGGCTGATGTTGTTCGCCTCGATGCTGTGCCGGCGGCCGAGAGGAGTCTCTCAGGCAACTCCATAGGGTTTTGCTGCAGATACGCGCCCATCATCGACGTCATGCCCTGGTAGGCAACCGACCTAGCACACATCACACTCACAGTCAGCACGTTATCATCAACGTACCCACATGCGCTGTACGTACCCTCCATTGGTTGTGGTGGCAGCGGAAGGTGCAGACCTTTGGGACATCTTGAAGCTGCAAAGGCATACGATTTATGTGTGGTATTACTTGGTTGATAGGTTTTCTGCAAGCAGTTTGATTGCACTGGACGATTTCGCGCGATGAAGATGTTCGCGATGTTCTCTCTGACGGACTTCCTCTCCATAACCAGCAGGCCGTCCCATTGATATACGATCCTGAGGATGCCATTCCCTCTTTACGCTTCCAGGCCCTCAATTTGGCCTCAACGCTGTTCCGCTCAGTCGAGGAGATCCCAAAGGCACGAATGCGCTGTTCGATATCTGCGAGGCTCTCCAGATCTTGAACCCTTCAAGAACCGTGTGTGAGAACGTTATGTAGCACTTGCGCGAAGCTGCTCAATCCTTCAGACGTTCATACGCCATTCCGGATTGCGTCTAGGGCTACCATCTCGGTCGCCAGCATTGTCATCATTGGCTGCACCCGCATATATCTGCCTAGCTCAGGCGGGATCGCAACCCCGGCAAGGCGCAGCTCGCATAAAAGCAAAGAGCGCGAATGCGCCCTTGAGAAATCCCTACGACGGTCTCTCTTAAGGGATTTCAAAGCCTGCCCCTCCCCCTTCTCTGTAATCTAATATATCAACATCCTGCTTCATGCAACTGCGACATCATTCGAGTACCGGTTTTTTACGTCGTCATGGTTCACAAGACAGTCGCAAGCAACCGTCCAGCGACCTGGTCTGCAGAAGGGCACGATGGTGCCGCAGCGCAGAAAATGTCGGTTGACGCGCAAATGCGTACCGACGAGGCCTCCAGAGATCTGGCGTATCAGTTCCTACGAATGAACCGTACCACCGGCCGTGCGCCTGTCGCCGATAATCATTATACCAGCACGCCTCCCAGCTGTGTGACACCAAGAGATCGTGCCGCTATGACAGCCGAAACTTCACAACCACAAGGGCGGCGTCACTCATCTTTCGACCCGGGAACAGTGTCAAGCCTGGCATACCGCGCCAAAGAGCCGGCCCAAAACCCAAGAAAGCACCAGAGAGGGAGTCCTTCACTCGGCGACATTGAGGAACAGGCGGAATCCCTGGGGGGGCAACACTTCAAGAGAATATCGGGCGACTCGGGCTATGGCTCCGACACGCAGCGCATACGTTGCGAGCAAAGCATCCATCCTTATGATCGCCATACAGTAAACACCGAGGTGCTCTACAAGCCCAAGGTGGTCGTTATCAGCTATTCTGCGTCCGACTCGGAATGCGACGAGGCTCTGGGCGCTCCCAGACGGCCCAAGAGGCGCCTCCGCAAGCATAGCTTAGCCGCAGCCACCAAGATGGCCGGCACGGAGGCACCAGATGCTCGTGACTGCGTCCCGAACTCGGTCGTAGAGAGCATTGAGTCGGCGCACTCTCTTTCCCACTCTTCGAAAGGCTTGCGACGAGTGAAAGGAACAGCCGCTTTGCGGCCAAAGATTGACCCCCATTCAGGTCTACTGAAGCCAAGGATGAGGACCACGACGATGCCCAGCATCATTGCTTCCGGCAGCGGTCATGCTGACAGACCAAGGCTGCTACTCAAGACATCAACTTGGTCCTCAAGCGGCCAAGATACGGTTCGATCGGTGGTACAGAGACGGCCGCGGCCGGTATCTGGACCGCCCACATTGCCCCTCAACTGGCATACAAACGCCATACCCAAGCTGGCGTTCTCGCCCGTCGAAGAACAATCCGATTCTCCAAGCGACAGCGACGAGTCCTCCGTGGAATCCAGTGTCTTCTCGATACCAAACTCCCCGGTCGAGCCCTGCGAGCTTGATCGAGATGACCCATTCGCCCCTCACTTTGACGCCGTCATTGCAAGTGTCTTCGAGCGGTTCAGGGATTGGCAGATCCGGCAAAGGGGCGGGCAAGCCGGGCGAAGCCGAGCTCGGCGGCCCAGCTCCAACACAATCGACTCCGGCCGCTCGTCGAGGAAGCGGTCGCATTCCGAGCTACCCGAGCACCCCGCTTCGGATGAGGACGTCCACACGGCCCCGGGGTTCAAGAGACCGAAGGTTCCCGCATCCCCAACGAAAACGCTCGCTTGCCCCTTCTGGAAGAAGAACCCCGACAGCCACCGGCAATGCTACAAAAAGGTCCTTAGCAGGATCAAGTACGTCAAGTCTCACTTGTATCGCTTCCACCCGGCCCCAATCACTTGTCCTTGCTGCGGTGCCGAGTTCCGAAGCGAGGAGGTGCGAGATGTGCACCTGCGAGCCAGGCGCTGTGAGATCGTGGAACGGAGCGACATTGCGGACCACGAGGGCTTGACCGCCGAGCGGATGAGGCAGGTGTCTAGGCGAGCTGACCCACGGCTCTCCGAGGAGGAGCAGTGGTTCGTCATATGGGACACCATATTCCCCAACACTCCGCGGCCCTCCACGGCTTACATCGACGGCGCCCTCTCCGAGGATATCTGCAACTTCCATGAGTTCTTTGCCAACTCTGGCAACGACATCATTCTTCACTACTTCAGCCTCCACGACCCCGACTTCGCGCGCAGCGACAGAGCGGCCCTTTACGGCCGCTTTGTCAGGGACGGGGTGCTCGAAAGGATCTACGAACAGTGGGCTACCAGGAGGGGGCTGCGGCAGCCGCATGACACAGACGACTTCACGCCGCCCCAGTCGATCCCCACAGAGTCCGAACTTCCGAGCCGGGCGTCGTCGGCGCACGGGAACCCGCCCACACAGGACCCGGTGCAGACGTATTCGGCGGAGGACATCCAGCCCGTGCCTGCAAGTGCTTTGCAGTTCGCTGGCCAGGGGTTTGATGAAGCCGGCGTCAGTGACGACTTGTACTATGACTCGCACACGCAGAGCCTATATGACGATCTTGCTAGTATGTTCCCTGACGCAGACTACCATTAGGACGTAAAAGCATATGTACTTCGTAGGTAAAGTAATTTCTGTCAGTTTTTATAAGTGTTTGGGGGAGGTTATTTGTACGTATATAGATGTATATACATATACATATTCGGAATGAGTTTAGAAATCAGGATTCAATACCAGGCTACACACCGTCATAGGCTTGCAATGAAATAGTACTGCCACTGATGTTACCCAATAACATCGTCACGTGCCAGTCACTTATTCAACAAACCCACCCCATGAGTATGAACGGTCCACAGCCAATCTCTTCAATGTGAGTCCGTTTGATTAACCAAGGACAGAGAAACCACGTGTACCAGCCAGTTATCATAACCTTATCCCAGGTCAAGGCTCGCCATCCTGGCCGAACGTCGGTGTGGGCGTTGCTCGCAGGTCCGCCAAGGCACGGCTGGACGATCTTCAATGTCTCGGTGGTAGCCTGAAGGGACTGTCCCCTCGTTCTCCCTCCACCCCCATACTTTCTCCATGACGGGACCGTTGAATGGCGTCGAGGACCCCAAGGTTGCGCCATCCTTGGACGAAGGAGTCGGGGAACCTCTTCTCTCGCGGCCCGCGTCCGAAGAGCCGACAAGCGGACCAAGGGCTAAAGGTTTATGGATCATCCAGAGCATCGTGCTAGTCGTATATACTACACCCCCTACGCTTCTGATCTAAATAATACAGAGTCACGACCCGAGTCCCACGCCATATTAGAACATCACGTAAGTTGCCTTGTCCAGATCCGGTGGACGTCGCGAACGTCATTGAGGCTTGGAACAAGCGGGACGCTAGGAAACACCCAGCACGCTGCTCCCTCTTATCCGGTTGGCGAGTCCCGGAATGGTTCATGACTAGGAACCTCACGATTGTGCTCACTGCATGTCGAGGTTCAAATAGGGGCCAAAAAAGGGGGGTAGATCCCCCCTTTGGTTTGTGGAATACTTGGACTTCTCGCCATCCGCCACCGTCGATGAACTATCTCGACCATTAGTTCGCGCCCCCCTCCCTCCTCTACCAATGAGACGTCTTTCTACCCGAACCATCAAAAAAAGGGGCTGTCAATTCCAAATCCCCCATAACTAAACCTGTTGGGAGTCGGTTTCGATTGAGAAGCCACTCGACGAGGCCGTCCGGGAACGGGAATTCTCAAGAAGGAAAAAAGAAAAAAAGAAAAAAAGTGTTGTGCGGGGGCGTTGCTGTTTCGCCCCTAAGGTTTTCACGGAAGGGCTTCGGGATTGTGATGCATCCTCGTGTTCGGGTTCATATTCAGTGCGTATGCCTAACTAGCCGCGTTTTGATTTTCCTGTTTCAGCGGACACTGTTCCCACTGATGTATCCCGCCTTCGTCCCCCGAGGCTTGTCGCTGTAAGTCGGGACGAAGCAGGCCGAGTTAGGTCACTGTGCAGCATGCCCTCGCGAAAAGAGAGCGATAAAGTCGTCAAATGGTTCTGCACAGCGCCAGACACACGGCGCGAGCGCGCAAAGACAAAAAAAAAAAAAGTCTGATGCTTGGGACTTGAACAACTCATGATGCTTCCGGACCCTATGGCGGTTCAACGATACTAAAGATGTTAGCCTCGGGTCCGATCACCGGAGCAAGTGGTCTGTGTGCCGGCTGGCACATAAGGGTCCACCCCGCCGATCGCGATCGGCCCATAATCCAGAACCACATCGGGGAGTCGGCCTCTTCTCCGATGATTACTCTCCACCTCCAAAACGACCATTGGTAACCAGCCTTGCTCTGCTGAGCTTTGACATTGCCATTTTGATCCTCTTGCTGCGAGTAAGAAATAAGTTAGGATTCATGCACCTGCACCTGCCCCCTTCCGTCACAATGCAACAGCCCAGACCTCATCGCCGTTCATTACTGACAGTCTGAAACTGACGCGCCGCCTGCGGAGAGCGTGAGGCTGGTAAGAGACTTCCAAAAAGGAATGGGTCAATTCGTATATATGACAGTCACCAAAGAGATTGGGAGTGATCCCAGACACTGACTCGCATATCCCTCTTCTATGAAATCTGAAATCAAGACCTACATTTATCAACATCCTGTCATGGCGTGACTGCAAGAAGATAACGCCCCAATACAATTTCCGTCACCCCCACTGTGACCTTAGCCTTGACAAGACCATACCGTTCCAAACTGTGTTTCGAAGGTTCAGTTATGGAACCTGGTAGCACTTCCTCCCCCTGGGTGATGAGTGAAGCTGATGTTCGGAGCGGTCAGCAATCACATGTATCACATGTAGAAGAAGAATCACCGCATTTTTTAACAGCCAACAGCCCCTGCGCTGCTCCTCTCGTGCTAAGAAGGATTGTGGTAGACCAGTCAGGGCGGAGGCTTCATGAGACAAGGCGGAAAACTGCCAGTATGGAGTATGGTAGTCACGTCTATGAACTAACGACAGGAAGACAATGTGACAGCCAAGGATAACCTCGGCACTGGAAGTGCTTGTCTAGGCCAAACCGGGAACACCGCTTGAATCTGTATTCAAGGCGACCATTGTGGGGGGTATGGGACCTGACCTGACCATTGCCTCTGACATGACCTGACGTAATGACCGTGCACGCACTAAACTGAAGTAGTGGATAGGGTTGATTAGGGACTGGTTCGGGTTATGGAGTCTGTAGTCAAGGCGACCATTGGGGGGGGTACCTGACCTGACCTGACCATTGGTGGGGCAAAAGTACCGTGCACAAACTAAGCCAAGTAGGGTTGGTGGACAGGGTCGGCTAGGGTTCGGTTAGGGTTGGGGTTAGGATTCGAGTTAGGGATTGGTTCGGGTAATGGAATATGGTATTAATCCGGGCAAGCCTACACCCTGGTCAGGTTATCAGCAATGGTCAGGTCAGGTCAGATACCCCCCACAATGGTCGCCTTACATGTACTCTCACAAGGCTTGCATGCGTAGCGCACAGTCAGGAAGGCTCGAACGTCATGGCGCCATGTGGGTTGAGCAGCCGCCAATCCTGCACCTGAGGAGACATAGTCCCCAAGCATAGTCGCCGAGTGAGACTCGGCTTGGGAGTCAGGTGACAGCCGAGCGAAGTCTAGCCTTTCAGGTGGGGGTTATCGGGTTGGCAAGAGACCCTGTATTTCATCTCATAAAGATGCCGTTGCTGGCTATTGAGTATTTAGCGGACGGCCTACCGTCCGAATGAGGACCGAGCCGTTGGCTTTGAAGATGCCCCGGTTATTGTTGTTGCGGATTCATTCTGCCTTGTACGGGGATCTTGGCAACAAATGTGATGCTCCATCGCCTTGTACGTGCACCTTGTTGGCCTTGTCCGCCCTTCTCAGACTGTACTGTACATCTGATCTGCCGATCATCCTTGTCTCCGATCCACCCACGGGATGTCCTGTGGATTGCATACATAGTCAGCATTGGGTGGACTAGTCCTCATTTTCACCTTCATGGGCTGCATGCAACATGTTGTTAGTTTGGCCATCGCGATGCAGTCGGCCGCCTTGAAAGAAAATGAAAGAAACAGCCTGTTAGGTAGCCCGACTTGATTGGCTTGAGGCCTATCCTCCTCGACGAGTAAGATGCGCTCAAGAACCATGATGCTGAGAGTGGCGCGGGAGCTAATGCAGGATGTCAGAAGAGGCACCATGAGAAACATCCTGCTCGTATACTGGCGGTAAGGGGTTCGTGAGCTGCCATATCGACGGCTCGGCAAGTCGACGACTCGGAGGGCTCGGTGAGCGTCCCCTCCCTCCGCCATTACGTACGTACGAAGTTGCGGTTTTACACCAGGTCGCAACAAGTTTTGCAAGGATGAGCGGCAGGAGGCCTGGATAGCGACTAGCAGGGCCAAGGAAAGCAAACCCCTGCTCGCTCATGCAAAGATCTTCGCGAAGGGGTCCTTCTGACGGAGAATCGATGATTCTGTCGAGGTTTTGTACCTAATTGAAATTGGCACTGCCCTCCCCACACGGACTTGGGGTTGCGTCTTCATTCCGAAAAAAAAAGGGGGGGTATTGATAAGAGGCCAAACATCGAGATTGAGTCAGGGCAGACAGATATGGGTGTAATCAATTGAATGTGACTTGTCTTCGCATCAAGCTCCTGAAAGCGTCGTCGAGGGCCTTGCGCTTGCGTGCTTTTTCCTCTTCATCCGCATCTTGTGGATTAGGGGCTGCGTCATCATCCTCGGCCCCAGGCAGTTGAGGCATCCAGGAACGTATCTGTCCGTCCAGGTGGGCCGTGTATACTGCACCAAAGGAACTTCCACCTCCCATCACAGTGCCCTTTTGAAGCCCATGGCCACCGCTGCCACGCCATACCATGCTCATTGTCCGGTTCTTCACATTCAGGCCGCTGCTGCCCTGACTTCCGGCCACCCCGGACGGCCCAGGCACACGCAAGCGGGACAGGAGAGTGCCTTCGTGCAGGTCCATGACCAGTATTTCTTGCTCATTGGGGTAAAATAGGAGATCCCGACGTGTGGGTGTCAGCCGGGCGGGCGTGACAAACAAACTCACAGTCTTGGGTTGTCGGTTCTGTATGATGGAGCCGAAGCTGGCCAGCGTGTTCGCACCAGTAGCAGCATCCCATACTCGGATCCGACGATCCAGGCCGGCTGATATGATGAAGTTACCGTCGTCAGTCCAGGTCAAGCCGTTGACACCCTCATTATGTGCACGAGCTGAGCTGCGGAAATGGGGGGTGCGGTTCCAGTCTAATCCAGAGGCCATGGCGTGGTCAAAACGGTGAATAACACCGAGGCTGTCTTCTTGATCGAGCTGCCCGACCAAGCCTCCGGCGCGGCGGAGGTCCCAGACCCGCACCCTTCCATCAACGTGACCGGTGGCAAGGGTATGCTCGTGACGGGGGCTCCAAGCTGCGGAAAGAACAGCACCTCCGTGGGCGACAAGAGATTGGACGGCAGATCCGGACTTGAGGTCTACCAGGCGAACAGAAGAATGCTGGGTTGCGCAGGCGACCAGGAGGTGATTGGCGATGGGACTGGTTGCATGGGTGTATATGTTGGCGTTCAGGTCAAAGCTGGCCGATACGACCATCCGTTGAGTAGACCATAGCTTGAGCGAGCGGTCGAACGAGCTAGATAGAAAGGCCTCGGAGTCAAAGGGGTAAAAGTCCAGATGGGTGATGCCGTGCTTGTGGGCGTTAGTCTCGCCACCAACGGAGCGGGCAACACTGGCGACGGGCTGGAGAATGCGGGATGTTCGGGCATTGCCCTCCTGGTGAAGGTCCCACAACTTCACCGAACCATCGGCACCGCCGGAAAGAAGGCTGCCATCGAAGAGTTTGGTGTCAGACGACAGAGCTTCGACATGACCGAGGAGCAAGTGGACTTACAGGCGGCCATCGAACTTATCCAGAGCCAAGGCATTAACGCCGACTCGGTGAGCCCAGATTTGCACGTACCGGCCTTCTTCTTCCAGCTCGGCGCCCTCGCCATCAAATCGGTGGTTGGGGGCAGCGGCGAAAGACCGGACGAGCTCCGACGTCGTGGCTCGCGCGAAGCCATCCGGGCTGAGCTCACCGGTGGAGCGGGCAAACAGACGGGCCTGCATTCATCTGGTGCAGTTGAATTTGAGGGCCACAGTAGAAACAGTTGGCTTAAATGGGTCTCGAGGCTGTTAATGTCCGAGTTGACCGTCTGATGTTGGCTATCACCAAAATGAATTCGTGATGATGTCAGCGGCTTCCGATGCGGAACAAAGGCAGGTAGGTACCTAAGCCGGTCGTTTCCTCAGCGCCTCCTGGCCCCCAGGCGGAAGCACTTATCATTGGTCACACCTGTTCTTATGGACCCACACTTACCAAAACTTCCGTCGGCTGTTCCAGCCCAATGCCCAAACCTCGAGAAGTCAAAGGAAGGCACGAAGAGGGCCTCACTCATTCAACGTCGGCCAACTTTAGCGTCTGGCATGCCTTAGGCACCTGGGCAGGCCATCACCATTCAACCATCCATCATTGCCTAGCATTTCCGCATACTCATCTCGTCGGCATCCGGTTGGCCTGCTGGATCTATTTACCTCTTTTCGATTTTGATTAACCACAATCAGAATGGACTTGCAAAGGCCATACAAGGATCCAGGAATGGAACTTCGGGCTGACGCCAGTGGTCTGGAATCTGCTCAGTCTCCGGCGGAAGAAACCAAGCGTTCACAACGGCATGCCAATGTCTACGATGCCGTCGCGGGTAAGCCCTTGACGAAATCGATTTTCGCTTGCTATGTGATCAATCTGTTAACCAGCGGATAGGTCGAATCACGTTCGAGAGCAAGTTGGGTGCCGCTGCCAGGGGTGAGAGGCCGCCCAATGCCAGCCTCAAACCACCCAAGCTGAGCAGACACCCTATCAACGCTTCTGCCCTGGCCCCAGAAGAGGTTTTGTTTCGCCGTAAGGCCGCGCCCGAGCGCTTTGCCGAGTTCGATGTCTACATGTCACACGAACGGCGCCTACTGGATTCCGGTCGTGCACCGTTGCCAGACTCTGACCTACTCAAGTCTGTCCATTTCTATGCCAGCCATTTCTATTCTACCCTGGGTGGCCCCAAGCGCAACCCCTCGTACCAAGTCGGCGCTCGAAATATTGACGAGAGGAGCATGGACGAATCGGCTCTGCTGGCCATTGGTATTCTTCTGGAGGAAGCTGGCAAAGATGTACTGGGACGCAAGGGAGACATGGTATTTACCGAGGGTTTAGAAATGACCTCCGAGGCCGACCCCAAATCAGCATCACGCACTACCGTCAATCCGCCGAGCCCGCCCCCAACTGACTACTCGAGCCGGCACCCACCAGCTATCAGCTTCGTGGACCTTGGGTCTTGGAAAAGAGCACCCAAGCGACGGAAATTGACCGATTTTGAAGACGCATAGGCCCCCTTCGGATCTTGCTGTACCCAGATTGCTCTTTCGACGAATGTTTGCCTGTGGGTACTTTTCATGTTGGCCGCCATCACCAACAACCCGAAAAGGAATGGATGTTCATTGATCGATCCGACTGTGCCACGGCAACTCGGCATCCATTGTTGCCATGCATATTTTGGCCAGCATCCAACATGGCATTGTTTGCTCTTGGCATCCAGAGCAGCAATATCTCAGCCTGCAAGGTTGATGGTACTCTGCCTTGGCGCGGCCAGTAACGAAGTATCCCATTGAGTGCCAAGTGACCTCACATAACCCAAAAATGGGTCTATGTAAATACTTACCGACAGCTATTGGACAGTCAGCCTGGATTGCTGTACTCTTATTGGTCTGAGGTTATGTGAGGTCACTCGGCACTCAATGGGATACCATCGAAAGCCGAGCCTAACCGACCGTTACCGACCACACTCGCTTATCAACAGCTTCTCAGCCTCAACCCCCATTCCCATCATAGGTTCGACGCAACATTGGTCGTTAAAACAGCATTCTGCTGCCGCGGACATGCCCGGCCATCCAGGCTTAGCAGTCGGTCTTCTTGGCTCTTTACTCGTTCTACCTCATGACAGTGTGGCAAATCTGCGTACCAGCACTCATAAGAGGCCCGCTTTACGGATACTCATTCTCTCAACGTCCACTCGCACGCATCGAGCGACGGTATCGTTACAAGCCCCGCACCGTTCCTGCAACACTCGCTTTGTCGAGAAGTATTCGTGCGAGAGCAATCGCGTCGTACAATTACGGTGCAGAGCCAGACGAATCCAAAGAGGTATTGGTTATGAAACCTTGACATCGTTCGCTCCCGCCACGGTGTACCCGCCAATCGCCGGTTGGTACAGCCATTTGTCGACCGTTTTTGTACGACACATTTTGGACGGAAAGCAGATTCTCGAAGCAAGAACTCTTGCAATATCTGGCATTTATTGGATGCACTTTGGTACTGGGGTATACCGCCGTTGTTAGGTGAGGCTGAGCCTTTTCACAGCTCGGCACACGAGCACGGTTGGTTACGAGGACAGCCAGGAGGACACTATTGGCAATACCCACTGCAGTTCGGTTTTACAATATTGGCCAATTGTCGTACTTACTTTTCGGCGCCTGACAAGCATTGTATGATAAGGCAAACTTTGGCCACGTCCAATAACTAGTCACCAAGCTTGCACCGAACTACTTCTCAAATGGTACTTTCCGGACGTCTCTCGGGAGACCTCATTCCCTTGGTGGTGGGTGTGACTTTGATGCGGCTAGAGGCCTTTATTCCTTGTCCGCTTCTTGCATGGCATTGGCAAAACAGCAAGCACAACGGAGCTAACACAGTAACATCATCAGATTCGGGCAATCGAACTTCCACGACCATAGCTGGTCCAACTAATCATAGAACTTAACAACACGCCATGGCAAAGGTTGCTTCGGGGTTTCAGCGACGACCTCGTTAGCACTTTGCTCGAGCAGGCGTCTGCCTTTCCTGATTTGGCTGTAGGTGATTCGCTCGGCACTATGCCTACTGGTCGATCGACTCCGGCATTCTACCGATGAACGGGCCTGGGTGCAGAGGCTGATCTCGAAGATCGCGGCCAGAAGAGTTCGGCACGTTGCTGAGTTTTCATCAGAGCCGCAGCACAGGGTACTTGATCAAGGCTACAGAACCAAGCTCCCACGTTGCCTTCACCGGCGTGAGGTTGCAAGTCATACCTCTGCTTCAGGAGAGTTCCTGAGAATAACACCTCGGCAGTGGCTTTTAAAATACCACCCCAAGCGGTCTATCTGTAAGGGGGAGGTGTAACCCGCCCTCCGAGCTCTGTTCGCATGGGAAAGCGGAGGTCGGGCTGCCCTCCGACAAGGGGTGTGACAAGAAGTAGCACGACCCATGAACCCCAACGGTACGAGCAGGCCCCCAGGGCTTGCGATAGGCACACGGCAAGCTGCACCAGCACTCCGATCCAAGGGAGAGCCCCCTACCATTTCGTATTAGAGCCTGCCGGGAGTATACTTAAGGGGGACATTTTGCCCATGGCGACAAGACTCAGTATGCTGATACGATGCATTTAGGGGTTCACCATTTGAGGGAGGCATTTTCCCGTCGCTTAACGATAATGGTGGTCGAAAACCCCGTCCGTGGTAGCGGTTGGGCATCGAGATCAGCACTTCGCGACCATGCGACGAAAGTCTCTTTGACCATGTAGTCCGCATTGACCGCTCAACAGCCCTCGCACAACAGAGCTCCCTGCCGGGCTGGTGGGGTTTTCACCTTGTTTTGCAACACAGCTGGATGTCGAGTTTTATCCATCCCTGAGGGCCACGCGATCCGCGCAAGGAGGCGTATCACAGTTTTGGTGTCGCTCTCATCATGTGACCGCCAGTGCAACCTTACACCAAGGTTATAGTAAACTTGGCAGAACTTCAACACTGACAAACCCCGCGTTTTATACCCACGCCTTGTGCACATTAGATCGGTTGTTTTTGGGCATCATGCTCCTCGATAAGGGGGCCGATGAATTCGACGGCGGATGACTGCCCTTGACAGCCAAGAGAGGAGGGGGGTAGAATAAAAAAAAAACGTTGTCCGCTTCACAGCCAAGGTATGCGATAACATTACTGCCCCTATCCCGACTAGGATCTCCGGGATCCTTGATTGCGGGCGTCAATCAGCTGATTCTTGACACCCTCACGGTCAATGAGGCTCGCTTTCAGCACGGCACCAACCGACGAGCTGATAACAAGTAAGATTCAAGTAGTACGTACTCTGTACTATATATATATATATATATACAATGTACATTGTGTATATATAAAGAGGAAGTGAAGCAAGCATGTCCTAGCTACCCCAGGCCGGACCAGCAGATTCCCGTGCTGGGTACACCATTGGAATGGAGACGAGTTGCGTCAAATTTATAAGTTTTGTAGGCTCCCGGACGGTACTTCTTAGTGGCGATCATGTGCTAGTCTCGGTGGATAGAATGACGGTTCGCCCTTGGGCCTTCTAGAGCCTTCGGTGCCGAATTTCAAGACTGGGTTCTGCCTTCAGGAATGCTGCCTGAGTTCGGACGTCTTAGTAGACACGGAGTACCACGGGATACAACGCACATCTAGAGGCAAAAGAGGACACCGTCGAAAGAACGGCGAAACACCACACCGCTGGGGTCATTTCCGCCTGTGGCGCTGTCTCCGAAATTCGAGCGCCATGCAAGAGTCCCAATGCAGCTTGGGATGATCACTGGAGGGGCTTACTGTATGATGATTGTCGTTGATCTTAGGCGTGCCTCGGTGACGGCAGGCAACTGGTGGAAGTGCGGAATGGACCGGGGCCTGTCTCCCTTTGACCACCAACCGAGGATCCGATGCTCGGAAGGCTGGCTCACTCCAGGTGCGAAATGGGCAATAACTGTCTGAGAGAGCCCTGCGGGCGGGAAGCGACCGACGAGAAGAACCAGAGATTGCGTTGTTGGGGGGGGGGGGGGTATCTCCATCAGGCCAAGTTTCGAGGCCAAGAGCTTGTGCAGTTGTAGACCAGAATCTCATGAGAACTGACAAAATCGTGGGATGGCGGGGGCCATGAACTCTGCTTGGACGCACCATGAGATCGGAACCAATCTTGAACAGCCATTGGGTGCAAGCAACCCTTTGTAACGTGGGCAAATGTCCTAGCACGATATTACTTGGTCGTTGAATCTGTCCAGGACCCCCATCCACGCTCCGGATTCGCAGAAAGAGGCATGGCATGTTCATTGCGAACTCCCTCCATCTGCCACGCGTCCTCGAGCAGGGCCGCGGGAACGGGAGGCGCAAGGCAACTATTCACACAAGCGCTGCTATGATAACAGCGGGACATATTATCGTGCGGCGCAATTCTGGCAGTCACTCCCGCAGATCGCTAACTAAGCCGGATCTGGGCTCGGGCTCTTTGAATCGTCGTCCATGTCAGATGTCACTTTTTGATAGAACCGGCCGAGAAGCGCGACGCATGGGATCTTTGTGTAACAAAGCCCGCCCTCGCAACCACCGGCCGTATGTCGTCGCCCGAGGGGTATGATCATATCGAATATGAAGGCCGAATTGCCATACCATGAGTGCATTTTCTTTCTGCAGCATGGCCACCATGAGGATCCTGGTATGCCCTAGTAAACCTTCGATCCCAGCTGGCGGTGCGCCAATTTCCGGATATCCAACACCTCACTGGTCAGCACCGGAGAAGGCCGGCTAGCAATCACCGGTTTGCGGTCCAACGGCTTGCCGCAGGGGAAGCGTACCCGGGTCTAAAACGCCAGTTCCAGGCCTTTTTGGCCTGAGTGATGGGCGTGGCTGCGCGGGCAAGTTCGGGATGAATAAAGTTCGGTCGTTGGTGTGACTATTGAGGGCGAGTCCTGTCGATCCTGCAGCTAGATGTGCTCCTCGCATTCCACGCGGAATAGAAAGATAGCCAGTCAACTTCGCGGGCACGCGTTTGGAGCCTATCAATGTCCCTGCTGGCAACTTACATAGTACCCAGTACTTGACATCCACCAGTGCCGTGACAGGATACGAGACGTAGGGCACACGTTGTTGCAGGGTGCGGCCCATCAATGTAACCTCACACTCGAAAAGTCACGCCATTCCGGTGTTCTGTTATCTCAGCTCCCCCTCTCAGCTGCGCTTCGGCACAGCTCATCAAACTACCGAGCGATGGACAGGACCTGCCTTGAAGCACCCCTGCCCTGCGGCAGTCGGACAGAGACCACGGAGAACTGGCTTGATAGAAGGCCGACAGGTTACCTGCGCTGGGGGGGATGGGAAACCAAAAGTCTCACTCATCCCAGAGTTGGTCATTGCGGGTCTGGGATGTGGGAGGCACTAGAGGAATCCCTGCACCCCAGGGCTTTAGCTGGCGATCATTCCGACCGTCAAGACACGAACAAGGTTGTTACACCGTGAACAAGAAAACAGGACAAAGTCCGAGGCGGAGAGAGAGAGAGAGAGAG